GCGAACAAGTGGAACGACCTCCACCCACTTGGTGAAGGTGTCAATACAGACAAGAACGCAGTGATATCGGCCAGACTTGTTCGTACCAAGCTCGAGCGTGTCAATTTGCACAACACGCCAGGAAACATCGGGAGTTACAGGTCGCGTTGGTTGCGGTAGACAAGGTTGAGCAGGATTTGCCGCACGGCAGGTAGTGCACTCTAACACGTAGTCACGGCAGCGCTGTGCCATACCAGGGAAATAGCATTGGCTACGGAGTAGACGCCACATACTTTCCCAACCGGCGTGACCACTCACAGTATGGGTGACTGCAAGTGCATCGGCAGTAAGACTCTGGGGAAGGGCAGGCACAAGCTCAACATCGTTGAGAGGCGATTTCACGCTACGAAACAGCACATCATCCTCAACCACCAGCTGGGTTCGGACTCTGCTGTAGCTGGAGTTGGGAATCGGTTCACCGGAGAGAAGCTGGGCCTTAGCGGACGAGATCTCCTCGTCAGCAACTTGGGCAGTGGCGATGTCACCCATAGCAAGAGGTGGGAGAGCACGAACGGTAACACCGGCTGCTGCAACATCAGGCTGTGGCTTTTTAGGACTGTCCGGCACACGGAACCAGGTAGGGACACGGGTTAGCTGATCCGAAATATTGTCCTCTGAGCGGACCCATTCAACGTCAACTGTAATGCCAGATACAGTGATCAAATCGTCGATGATCTGCAAACGACGCTGAACCAACATAGCGTGAAGGCCACTCACTTTAACACGGCGAATGTTGTTCAGCAACTGCGTCAACCAGCCATGGACTGTACGCGAATCAGTGTGCAAGACCACGTTCTTCACTGGCCAACACAGAGCGAGGTTGAGCGACTTGATGACGGCGTCTAACTCTGCTATATTGATGTGACGCTTATCATCGGAAGGTCTGAGCCAGGAATTGTCTTCGACGATAGCGCCATTGACTTCCAGAACCGCACCCATGGCCAGACCAGAAGCATCGCACCAAACGTGCCACACTGTGGTGTCATCACAGGGCACAGACCAGACACCATGCACAGGATCGTCTTGACGGACACGAGACTCGACCTCACGACATGGTTGCACGAGATGAGGCGGTACGAGGTCATCCCATTTCGATGTGTTCTCACCGACAAGCCGCTTGATGTAGTTGCACAGCGGGCGTAACCAGGAACATACCGGGTAGTGAATAATCACACGGCCACACCAACTGAACACTTGACGACGAGTTGGTGACTCTGGCAACTTGAGGTCAACACCAGCACGACGTTCCCACGTGACTTTATCTTTGACATCAGAAGAGGACAGCTGTAGGCCCAACACACGAGCAGTTGCGAACTGCTCTGGCTCTTTCGTCTCAAGCCCATAGCTGGCGAGTTCATGGCGGACGATGTCGGTCTGGGCAGTAGGGACGTAGAGGTCGTCCACATAGTTGTCAACGTCGGCGTGATCACGGGTAATCCATTGGACAATCATGTCCAAGATCTTTGGCGCAACGTTCAGACCGAATCCCATGCGGGTCATGGTATACAACTCGCCTTTGTACACAACGGTTTGGTACTTGTACAGGGTGGGATGGATCCGTACTTGCAGGTAGGCTTTCTGGATGTCGAGAAGAACGCTGTTGGCACTACGTCTGCGCCAGTCACGGAGTTTCGCGTCACAAGCTGGAGCGGTGACACCGGGGTGGGACACAAGACAGGCATTCAGGGCACGGTAGTCCAAGCACGGCCGAACCGGTGTGGATGCCTTGTGCCGCTGACTAACGGCAAGTATCGGCAAGACAGGCTCTCCGAATGCCTCGGAGTCGTACTTGACAAGCCATCCATTGTCCACCCACAACTTCATTTCTGAAGCAAACTGCTCCTCCTCGCTGACGCTTAGAGACTTCCGCGAAATACTCTCCAATGCCGGAACCAATGTGCTGCTCGGGTGCAACGCCACCCTTCCACGACCACTGAGCAATCCAATGACCACGCTCATTCGACCAGTTAGCTTGGCAATCATTCGCCTTCAAGGTGACTGTCAGCTCGGACTCGGTAACATCGATGTGACGAGAAAGCTTGTTAGGCTTCTCAGATTTGGGTTGGGGAGATGCACCGGCAGCGACACCTGCCTGCTGACCAAACACAACTGAGGGCAGCGTGCCCCCTAGACCGTCGTAACGTAGAGTGAGGCCACCGACCTTGCCAATGGTATCTGTGCCAATCAGGAAGTCCGTGTTCAAGGACGACAAGTTGGGCACAACGAGACAATCAATAGTGATCCGAGGCAAATGGACGGCTCCATCAAGTCGTTGCACACGTAGCGTGACGTTGCCAAGGATAGTAAGTGGTGTTCCGTCGATAGACAACAGCTTGTCCTGACAGGGAGAAACTGCAGCTGATAGGTTCAATCGGTCAACAACAGCCGACTCCACAAGTGTGCGAGTACAGCCAGAATCCACCACAGAGGCAAAACGCGTCCACGTACTAGACTCAGTACTGGGTTCCTGTACGTCCACGGCTACACGAACTAGGTCTCCATCCGATTTTGCCAGAGCAAGGCAAATATCCGTACGTTCAGGCGGCGCGTGACCAGCAGCAACATTTCCAACTCGACTCTTGTTCGGACAGTCCTTGGAAATATGCCCTTTCGCTTTACAGGCATAACAGGTGACACTGGGCTTACGCTTCGGGCACTGTGATCTCACATGGCCAACGGCCTTACACTGGTAACACACGAGCGACTTCTTGGGCTGAGAGCTAGCAGCAGCAACAGCACCATGGGATTCTGGGAGTTTGGATGCCTGCATGACTCTGATTTGATTTGCCATATCAGTGACAGTGAGCTTCTGCGTAGCAGACGCCATACGAACGTGGTGACCAATATCAGCTGGCAAACCACTCAGGAACTGCTCAATCAGCACGGGATCTGAATTATCCGCAATCTTATGGCCAGACAGAGTAAGTAGGTGCTTCAAATCTGCCAGGTACGCGCCCACAGGCTCTCCATTCCGCAAAGCCCTTGACGTAAATTAACGGTAGGCAGCACCAGGCGTGGGGCAAAATGCCTGCTCCAGCGCAGATTTAATTTTTGCCGGCGATTTTTGTCCTCGTCAGACAATTGAGTGACAACCGTAAAGGCTTGTCCACTCAGGAACAACGGAAGATGCTCCGCCTTGGCAGCGTCATCGGCCCACTTATTGGCCTTGGCTAAGACCAGAAACTTAGCCCAGAACTCATCGAAGTCGTCCTGTTTGCCCCGATACGGGCGAATAAATCCATCCAACTTCGAAGCCATCTTTCAGAACTTCAAACGGGTTTCGGCACCAAAGTTGTCGGGGAATCTCAAGCACGCACACAGAGTGCACCCGACACAACGAACACCTACTCAGTTCATATGGTTTACAAAGTTGAATGCATGATAGGATTAAATTAACGGGAAGAGAAATAGAAAATCGAAATTGTCTTCATGCCATTGCAATAATAATCACAACCACTGAACACCGCGTGGTTGACAGCTCTATCTGCTCAGGGGGTGCATGCATGCGTGCACAGCACACCCACACGTAATGAGTCTGAAGCACATGTAAGTACGTAATATTAGGACGTGACGTGGCAACGTGATACTAGTACAGCACACACTTTGCTATCACCCGTTATGAGCCCTCTGGTTTCATTCCACGTAGAGTAGCGATGTCATAGAGCACTGTGTTATATTACTACCACCCCGCATCATTCTATTTCCTATTTTTATTTTTCTCCTCAGCTTCTTCTTCATAAGCTGTTGACGGAGACTCCCTCGATTTAGGCTAAGGCCTGTGGAGAATCCATAAATACAAAATACAATACAAATACAACACCGTATCGATGTCTGACGCTAGCTCTGTCGCCTTGTGTATTTACGGTAATAGGGACAAGTACGGGATAGCGCCAGTCGGAGGTCCGTCTGCCATTGAGCTAGCGCCAGACATGAAATTGTCGGAGCAACCAACGAGCACCTAATATATCAGTAGCGAGTGCTATCCCGAGCATTATGTTAGCATTACGAAAGCATAGACAGGATGCGTGTTACAGGAGACCCAAGTTGCTGAAGACCAGAAGTCATTGCGGATAACGCGCAGAAAAACTAAATCTGCAGCCTCTTTTGCCGTCGGACAGGATGTTACTGAAGTAACGTCTTCTGCATAGCTACAGGAATAAATATCTATAATATATGATGGACCCAGCAGCAGGCCTGTTTCTATAACGGGTCGGTTTGGGTGTTCTCCCTATAGCGGGTCGGTTTGAGTCGCATATATGGACAGCTCAGAGTGCAGTGCAAGAGGTGCATATCGTATGCCTTATAGACACAAAATAATAGCTAGCTCAGAGTACACAAGCAAAAAACCAGATGTAGAAGGTCAACTAAATAAAGGAGAACTGAAGATCAGAGGATCAACTAAAGGTTATGGTTACGCAATGCATATCAGAATATTCCCGTAATCTAAACAATAAATGCCGTTGCGCTCCACGTGCAGTGCAGAATCTACACATGTACAGAGTAAACACGCATGCGTGTATTTAGGAAGGAGATCAAACACCTACTGTTTCGAAACAAGGAGTTACTTCGTTTGGTTTCTGGAAGCCGTGGAAGTTGACCGCCCTTCTCGGTCTCGTGCCTCGATGGATGCCTGGGTTGGTGCGTTCCTGACATGACTACCAGCAAAGGAGCCGACTGGCGAGTCGTCGGTGTCGACAATGTCGTACAAGCGGAAGAAATTCTCTCGACGCAAAGCAGCTACGCTCCCCCTATGCCACTGCGTCATCAGTGCCGCTGTGCCGGCTGCTCCGCGTAGGTTTACAGCTTTCTTGTAACGCCCTGCTGTAGGGAGCCGACCCGTTATAGGGGCCGACCTGTTATAGTGACCCACATAATATGTATATATATTATATATTTACGGATGGCCGCTTACTGAAAATTAATGTTTTTTTGTTTTTGTTTTCTTAATGCTGTATTGTCAGGTTCTACCAAGACTGCACAATAGCAGGAGAATCTCCTCACCAATGGGTGACATCTGTGTAAGTTTCTTGTTCAGTGAATGTTCTACATTATGTCTCTCACAAACTCTGTCTCTCTACTCCACGGCTTGCAAAGCTTGCGGGAGCGAATGTACATAATTATAGACCAATTGGTGTGCAGAATCTAGGATGGGAAACCGTCAGACGTCATTCATGCAGGTGCATTCACACAGGCATGTACATGCTTGTTTAGAGGTAGGTAGACACTCCTCTCCTAGAGAATTCCATTCCGCAAGCCTCCAGTGTCGTTTAATTACTCCATGAAATGATTTTTAAATCATTCCCGCAGCTATGCAAAACACGTTACTTCAGTAACGTCTTCCGCTAGCCAGAGTCCACAGAGCTTTGATTCCGTGTTTGTTTGTTTGTTTGTGCCATCGGCATGCCTGGCGCTATCCCGTACTTGTCCCTTACCGTACCATCAAGGACAAAATTGGCATGCCTAGCGATATCCCGTACCTGTCCCGTACCGTACCATCAAGGACAGCATCAGCATGCCTGGCGCTATCCCGTACCTATCCTGATCTGCACCATTAAAAACAGCTGGCCACAATATCCAAATAGGGCTTTCAAATGCAAAATCATAACGTGAAGCAACGTACTGTAAAACGACAAACTTTCGCGAGCGATTAACTTTCGCGACTTTCGCGAGCAGTGCCGAATCGCGAAAGTTTGACACGCGAATAAGAAATTTGTACAATCATGTACTACACGATGCGTCCATGATCGATCGTGCACTGTCTGTACATGCACTGCACAGACTCTGGACTAGCACTGATCGATGCTTGCACGGCTACAGTCCGAAGCCCGCAGCTGTTGAAAGTTACGTACCAACACTAGTCTTCCTAGTTGTCGTTGGAGTACGGCGACTTGAACCAGAATGGCAGAAGAGAATAAAACGAACAACTGGAGAGTGCCTCAGTGTTGTGGAGAGTGTTGTTTAACTTGTTGGAGTGTTTAGCCAGCTTGCTGCTGCGTAGATTTCAGTATTGTACTACTCGAAGAAGTCTTCTGAATTATATCGCCATTAGTATCGCAGTGGCTCAGCAGTTCGAAGAGAAAGTCTTCCGATGATCCCTTTTCGAAAACGCCATCCTTTCTTGAAGTACTAGTACTCATCTTATGATTATCTTTGATTCCTTGATTGACTTCTCTCATTCTTCGTGCACTCTGCGTCCCATCACTCCGAGACTTCGTATAATAAATTTCTTGAAGATGTTCAGTGGAAGGTAAAAGTCGCTAAAATTTATCGCCGCTAACTGGTCAAGTTTGCCAAAACGCTAAATTTAGCCGCCGCGAAAGTTTGTCGTTTTACAGTATGCGAAGTGTATCAGAGAATACACGCAGGGCGATAGTGCGGGTTCGAATCCCAAGTTATGTCTTGAAAAAAAAGAGGAGAAATGAAAAATTTATAACATCCCTATGCTTTTTTTGCCTTGGTCATCAAGGTGGTAGGTAGTGTCGTATTACCCCGAATGCAAAGAAAAGTTGACTCTTGCTGGGCAAAAAAGCATAGCGTGGGCCCTGAGCTTCCAAGCTCTCTCGTTAAAAGTAAAGTGAGCGCACTCCTACCACGAGAACAATGCAGCAATATTTTTTTTAAAGATTTGAACATCGTTTTCATATGCCTATCATGGGAAATCATCGTCACAAAGAGTGCATACTTGCCAACCATACCGGTTTTCCTGGGATTATACCGCGAACCTAAGGTCACTACCGGCACACTGGGGCTTTTGACTTTGATCGAAAAACTACCGGTATTGGCACTGAACCATGAGTGTTCATAAAAATATTGTTTTGTGGTGTGACAAGGGCACATGCGGCCCTGAAATTCACAGAATCACAGGGGGGGGGGGCGCTCTGACAATAAAGAAACTCAGATTTCGTCCCCCAATGAGCAATGGGTTAGATATGAATAAAAAGTGCCAAAAATTGCGCAAAATATGCAAAAAATAATCAAAAATTGCCCCAAATAAAGAGAAAATGGCCGAAATTAGCGAAAACCAGGAAAATACAGGAAATGAGAGAAAAGCTTGGTCACCTGTTTTATGGTACTGTACTCTTTTGATTTCTTGGTATTGGGTTGTGTTGTGTTCTTGGCTGCTTTCCTTGCAAGTATTCGTGTTCTCACTTGTTTGTGGTGTCCTTTGGGACTGTCCCCTTTTTCTCACCTCAGCTTCCTACCCCGCATTACCTTACCCTCCTTGCGTTATATGTTAGAGTGTTCCCCAGTGCAACCAATTGCGCGGATAGTGCCTCCACATCATGTAACACCCTCACCTAGTGAAATTATTGGTGACGGACTCCCCTGGCTGGCGCTACTCTTTGCATTTCTTCCTTGTGAATGTGGCAGGTGAGGGTGGTGTATCCACTCTACTTGGCCCTCCCCCTTCCATGCACATACCTGGGTCGGTGTTTGATAAATCTGACTTCAGGGATGCACTATTCCCGTAGCTATGCAAAATACGTTACTTCAGTAACGTCTGGCGCTAGCCAGGGTCCACACAGCTTCAATTCGGTGTTTGTTGTTTGTTTGTTTGTGCCATCGGCATGCCTGGCGCTATCCCACACCTGTCCCGTACCGTACCGTACCATCAAAGACAACTGGCCACAGTATTCAAATAGGGCTTTCAAATGCAAGATCATAACGTGAAGCAACTTGGAAGAATGAGTATGTATGCGAAATGTATCGGGGGAATGCATGCACAGGGCGATAGTGCGGGTTGAATCCCAGGTTATGTCTTGAGAAAAAATAGGAGAAATGAAAAATTTATAACATCCCTATGCTTTTTTTGCCTATGTCATCAAGGTGGTAGACGATGTCGTATTACCCTTGAATGCAAAGAGAAAGTTTGATGTAGCTAATCAACGAAAAAACAACATTTCCATCAATGCTAATAACATGCATGATGAGCTAGCTAGGCAAAAAAAGCATAGCGTAGGGCCCTGAGCTTCCAAGCTCTCTCGTCGCAGGATGGAGTTGCATTGTCCTGTGTGCAGTCGGGGAGATGTCCTATCTAAGATATCGCCCTCTGAATGAGTCTGATTGGTTACCTGCCCCAGAGTTGTCATGGAAGGGTCGGTCGCTCACACGAGATGAAAAGAAGTGCTGCGTGAGCATTTTTGAATGTATGTGGAGGATGCACGATCGTAAGGCCACAACAAAAAGATTTCGTGTTTCCGGTCGGCACCCCCCGAAAAAATACGCCCGGTCGGTCGGAAAATTATTATTTTTTGGTTTGAAAGTTTATTTCCCTGCTGTATTCATCATGTTCATAGACATGAGCCAAATTGAGAAAGTTTGGATCAGACACTGGTGATACACATTATACATATTTACACATGGAATATGGAGTAGAATACCACCGCGGGACGCAGTAGCTGCTGCTCCCAGAAGCACATCGAATGCCGAGGGACGGTCAGGGCACGGTCGCTTGGCAGCAGGAGCTACGTCCACCAAGCGAAAATCCAGGAAACGGCATCCAAATTCGTATTTCGACAACAAGGCCGACAGTGTCAGTTACCTCTACATCTTTCCACGTTCCTGCCCCACCATTGCTGCTTGCTGTAGCTGCGACAATCCACTCTAAAGACGTGACGTCCTCAGGCAAGCGAGGCTGCACTTCCTCACAAAACAACTCCTTCAAAGTGGTTTCATGGGAGACGCGAACTATCCTTTGCTGAAGAAGACACTTCGCACCCCGCCAGCACTGGACACAAAGCGGGCTGCTCTGAGCAGCCATCGTCAGCACTGGGCACAAAGCGGGCTGCTCTAAGCAGCCATCGTTCTTGGCGACCTTTTCTCCAGCTCCGGAATTTTCGTCTCTGCATTCAGTCAAACTTTTATTTCGGTTCGAGCAAAGCAACACAATGCTTTCAGTGTTTTTGCTTGTTTTTCTTTGTTTTTTTTGTACTTGTAAACCAAAAAAAATTCCATAATTTTTGAAAAAACGGACCCGGTCGGCCGACCGGAAACACGAAATCTTTTTGGTGTGGCCTAATGGATTTCTTTCCGAATTGGTCAAGTTTGAGGGAATAGGCGGAGAATATCAGACATCGGCGGGGATTGAGGTAGTGTAAATTCGATTTGCCATCGAATACCCGACCGAATGGCCGTTTTCGTTTGGGGATTTCATGTTGGGTTTCTCGTAGCCACGCGGCGCTTCTTTGGAAACGATTGGTTCTAATTTTGAATGTTTTGCCTTTGGAATGTTTCTTCACGCCCCGTGCGTTCATTTCGCCCCAAACCTGGTCATGCAGAGGAGGAAGACGAGGCAGCAGGCGCTAGGCCCGTAAATTACTGCCTGGAAGATATTGTTTGGCCAAAGCTTGCTGTTGGCGTTTTTGATTTCTTGGATACGACAGCTCTTGGCTAAAACTGGACCTTGGACGGTCTTTCTTGGATATCAACCCAGGTCGTGGTGGTCATGGACGTATCGCCATCGCTTTCAGCCAGATCCTTCTGCTGCCTGAAACCAATGGTGAAAGTAAAACTTTATCGCAGCAGCAGCTACTGCCACTGAAAGTGCGAACACAAATTGCTTCGCCAATCCTCTTGTGCACTTGCAATTTTCAATGCGACCAAAACGATTCGCTTGCCAGTTCCTTTGTCCAGGCGTACTCCACAACGAGGAAAATAAAATTCGTGAAAGCAAGAGGCAAGATACGAATCTCGACTCGCTTGAGGCAAGCCGCCAGGAGAACGACAACTAATAATTACTTTTGAGACGAAAGGCCTTCGTTGCGTTTGTTTTGAGTGCGACATGTTCATCTTCCTCGGACGCGACACAGAGTTTTGAGTCACGTGTCTCGATTACTATGGGAACAGCATAGTATGTATGCTGGGGCATGCTGGGTTCCGTGATGTCCTATCTAGGACATCACCAGGACTGGTGTGTGTGGAAAGGAGATTAGTTTTGAGGGGTATGCCAATGTCGATTTTCCGTTCAGAAACCTTTCCGCGGGCTTTGCACACTCGATCTACACTCTAAAGGAAACTTACCTGCAAATATTTTTTTGCGAAATTGGAGAGATCGATTCGCACAACTTCTCAGATATGCTCTCTTGAGTATCAATACCTACCCTGGTATTGATTATCAGCATTCCTGGGCGTATATGGGCATGGGTGCTGTCAATAGTTTTGACTTCACCTGACTGGGCGTGTACATGGAAGGTGGCTGTAATCTCGAATGTGCTTACACACAGGCTTTACTGTGACAACCCTGGACACAAAAAGCAATGTCCGCTTAGCCTTATCCAGCTTTCTTTTGCCTATTTCACCTGGTACAGACTGTTCAGGCGTACTGGATGGGATAGCCTTCCACACGGGTTTAATAATTGTTTGGAGAATCTAATCAACCTGTAAGTATGTAGTTGCAGTAGGGCTCTCTTCCAAGGCAGCAGTGGTGACAGCTGTGGTTATTCGTCGTCAGGCGAAATTACTGGTCAGTCGGCGACGCGCATTTTTCACAAAAATTTGCGTTTCACCTGCTGGGAGAGTATGCGTGTACTCGAGTCTCATCCTGAGCACGTTTTTTTCTTCTTTTTTTTCAGCTCCAGTATAGCTGTATTTTTCATTGCAAAGCCGTCCTCGATTGTTGTGTTCGTTGTTCAAACGAAGTGGACATTCAATCATGAAGGCAGAGGACATAGGAGCCTGATTGGAGTTTCTCGTGGCATAGGACGGCCACACAGAGACACTTTGGGATTTTCTGAATATAAAATACCGTACGCACAATGCTGAGATCAATTTGTGCGATATCAAATTGTATGTGATCTACCACATTGAGCAGAACGGGATCCAAACACGAGCTTACCGACGGTTAGGCTGCCGACCTGACTGGACAAATGATCCCTGGCTTCACCAGACGCCAGAAGTCGGACACAATGTCCATCTCCAAAAAGAACTCCATCTTCGTCGTGAAAAGGCTTGAAATACTCAATATTCAACCGAGATTCGCGGTCTCACCCTTTCTCAGATCGAATCATTTTTTGTTGTAGCAGTTGCAGGGCAGATCCCCGCCACTACTTCAACAGAAGATGGCTCCAAAGCATGCCTGGAACAAGCCATATCGAGGTTGCAAGCCACCCCTCTCAGCACTTTTTTTGAAGAAATTCGAAATTTCAATGGTGGAAGATATACTATGAAGAGAATTTCAAAAAGTATGTTTCGCAGAGCGATCGTTCAACCTACGTCATTCAAACTTTGCAGGATAGTTCAGACGTACATGCTAGGCATGGAACCACAGAAGATGATATCATAGCTGACACACAGAGTAACACACACAGCAGATTCGTGTGCACATAATTATACTAAATTAGTGGACGTCGTCATCTTCTTCCCGCTGATCTCAAATGTACTATGACGTGCAATTTCGGCTGACGGTTGCATTCTTTACTCTGGACTCCATTCTTTCGCCTGCTGTGATTCACACCAACAAGACCTGATGAGAGAATGCTAGACTGAATCAGACTTAGCCATAATGACCATACAATGCAGCAGTTTTGTACATGGGCAAGCACACCTGCATTTAGATGCTGCAAATTGGACAGCCAAACTTGGAGAATTGCGCAGCAGATGGTGGTTGGTTGGTTGTGATGGTTGAAGGCAATGTTGAAGGGGAGCCTTATTATGGATCAGTGTGTCTTGCCGTCGTCAGGTCATAGGAGGCAGAAATCAGAACATCGGAGTAGTAGTTACAAATACAAAATAACTAAAAGCAAGGTTGTTCATGTACAAAGCTGTGCTTGCTTGCCGTGGGTGGAGTGTGAGCTAAGAAAATTGTGACAAACCGAAACCGCAACGTTAATATCCTACAAAACTAGTGTTGAAACGATCTCACCGGGTACTCGTTAGCTCGCTCGCAAGAAACTCGGCTCGTTTAATAGGTCAGCTCGTTTGCACTAACGAGCACTGTATACCATACGGTGTACCCACGACATCGACAGTCAGTGCCTGCATGGCATGTCGACAGGTAGCTTGAGGCCTGCACAACAGTGCAGTCACACTGCAACTCATGTGCTAGTACATGTACCAGTACATGCAGCTACACTGCATGCACCAACCGTGCTTGAACCACAACTGGCACAAGTGGTGGCGCTCAAACTCAAACTGAGTCAAAAGTGAAAGTCTCTGGAACTGGCCGTCACTGAATGCCCGCAGTGCTGCACACTCTTGCACTGTTCACCAGATCACACAGTGCTCAGTCTGCTCATGGGTAGCTAGCAAGTAGATTTGCTCTTGCCACACCACTTGCAAAGTTGCAGTTGCGGTTGCAGTTTTCGTTTGTTTGTTTGAAGTTATATTTTACGTCGCAAACCAAACGGGCATTCATGCCCAGCAGTCATGCACACAAGTCCTAGTCCTACTGTTGTGGACATGGAAACCCGGTCGCATGTCTAGCGGCCCCAGGGCGCTGGCCATGCAGCCGTGGATAAGCGGTGCACACAGCAGCACGATGATGGCGAGCAGGAAGGAAAACGGTTAGTCGCCAGGCCACACTATGTCTAATTGACGAGAGACATTTGGACGTCCAAGGCCACTGAAACGTATGCGACGACAACAGCCCACTTTGTTGATGAGAATTGGAAGCTTGTGCCCGCCGTCTTCCAAACTGCCCACTTTCCGGAATCCCACACTGGCATCAACATTAGCCAGCAGCTCAAGGGTGCTGCGGCGCGATTTGCAATACCAACTTCGCAAGTAGTAGCGGTTGTGCACAATGAAGCAGCGAACGTTAAGCTGGCAGGTTAGTTCAAAGTATGCATGTTAGCTTTCTCTATTCATGGTGTGACAATACAGGGTACCTCACTTCGACAATTTGTGACAATATTGTTTTATTGATTATATTTGAATTGTACTAAGTGTGAACTGTGCACTGAGGGAGAATATTTTGATCCAATGGTAAACATTAGTTGTGCAGGGACTAAATTCCTGATTGGCATTTCAACATGCACTGTTCAAGCATATTATAGGGTGCTGAACATAATCAAGTTATGACAAAGGGCTAATACATTGCTTTTGTCTGGTGCTTCTGTCTTCTGTGCCCTCAGGCAGAATTCTCCGGGAATGCTTGGAATGAGCAAGTCTGGTATGTGCTGCACACCATCAAGGATGCTCTGGACAAGAAGCAGCTGTGTAACCTACTTGCACGCTGCCGCCGTTTGGTGCGCCACATCAAACATTCAGCACTGAAGACCACGCAGCTGGCTCAGAAGCAGGCACTACTGGGCATAGTAGTGGCAAAGAAGGTAATCCAGGGCTGCCCCACCAGGTGCAACAGCTCTTACCGTATGTAGGCAAGACTAGTCGAGCTTCAGTCGCCCCTCCAACTGCTGCATGCTAATATGTCGGACAAGGAAAGAAAGCAGCTGGAACTGCCACCCACCTGCTGGGAGACTGGCAAGCAGCTGCTGTCTATTCTACGCAAGGTCGATTCCATTACGACGCATCTGGGAAGGGAGAAGTACTCCACATTGTCGTGGTATCTTACCCTTCTGGCTTCCCTGAAGACGGCCTGCATCAAAGATAACGACAGTGACGATGATGAAGGCGAAGAGGAGCAGCTAGCCGTGTCGTCGTTGAAGCACATTTTTCAATTAACTATTTTAGAGACAACGATCAGGTCAGAGAACTCACCTCAGAGAACTCACCTTAAGCCTCCTCAGGCAGTTCATTCGTGTCCGTTATAGCTTCTCTGATTAGCTGTAGAAGGTGCTTGCCCATTTGTCGCCGGACGACCACTGAAACAATATCTTGTAACAATGCTGTTGCAACATGACACGTCTGAAACGAACCTGCTTTTTTCAAAGCTGCCAGCTTTGCTGCCGCTGTTGGAAGGAGCGCAAGCTTTTCTGCTACAGTATCTGGAGTGCTCCATAGTCAAGGGAGTGCAATGCTGTCCACCAGCTGTTGCTTCTCTTGAAGAGTATGGGCTTCCTTCTGCTGTCGCTGCCTCTCCTTCTCTATCATTCTTTCCGGCTGGAATCTTGAATGGCCTGGCTGCGTTGCTGGTACAGCTGTCGGTGGTGCTGGGCTCCTGCTAGAGTGCTCTTGAACAGCTCTCTTCACCTCAGCAAGGATTGGCTTCGGAGCCATTCCCCGGTTCGGTTGCAGCAGAATAATACGATGCCTTCGATGGCGATGGTGGACGCGTTTGGGTTTTCACGTTGCAACCGGTCCAGGAGAGCAAAAGCTTGCTCGCTAGCCACATTTGTTGTGCGGACACTCGCTGTTGTGGATTGCTGCTGCGCTGGCATGTTGCTGAACTTGCCCCCCTGCAAATGGTCAGCCAGCAGCTTCGTGGAGTAGTTGCGAATGCCGACACAAGCAGTTCTAGAATTACTTTTTTCCACGCTTTCCTACATGTGTACTGAGTGCGAAAAAAACATTCCTTGAGGGATAATTGGGCAAACTCTTGCAGTGTGGTGCCTAGAAAAATAATTTAAAATATACAATTTTGCGATTTTGCGGAGTTTTTTAAAAGACACACATCTTCAGGAAATATTTTCATTAGAATGCCATCTTTCTTGATGCTCTACTTCGTTCAGGGATGTCTCTTGAACAAAACTGGTGCATTGGGGAAGTACTACTAGCTTTGAATTCAACTATTTTATAGTTTCAAAAGCTTTTCCGGGTTGCAAAATTTACGTCAAATTTGTTAGAAGGAGGATGAAATGTAAAAATAGGTCCGAAAATGTGCATGTTTTACTTCTTTATGATCAAGTCAGACCCTTACTGAGCTGGGAAAACAAAGGTTTTGGAGTGGTATCTGGGCAAAATGTTGCTGAAATGGACCATTTTCTGAGAGTTTACAATGGACATTCTTTTGTCTGTGTTAAAAATGCTTCATTGCAGAACTTTGACCACAGGATCCATCAAAACCTTTAAAGAAAATGATCTTGCCAATCTCGTTATGCTGGAAAGGTTGTAAGTGGATTTGTTGTATCAGCCTGACACATTAGTTTATGCACAATGCCAAAATGTCTATGTACCAAAAACAACTATCATTCACACTGCCTCTTAATGTCCGCCTCCCCGATTTTCATCAGGGCCATGGCGGCTTGTAATCTTCCTCTTATCTCTCATGATCACCCCTCTGTGCTCTTTCTCTGTCCGTATGTCTGTCTGTCTATCTGTCTCCATCCATCCGTCCATCCGTCTGTTCACCCGTCCGTCTGTCCTTTCATCCATCCATCTCATCCATCTCGGAAAAGTACTTTTAAAGGCAGCTCAATAGGAAAAAACTTGGTCCAAAGATCGTTTAGTTTTACTTTTCCTTGCTTTCCTACATGTGTACTGAGTGCGAAAAAAACATTCCCTGAGGGATAATTGGGCAAACTCTTGCAGTGTGGTGCCTAGAAAAATAATTTAAAATATACAATTTTGCGATTTTGCGGAGTTTTGTAAAAGACACATATCTTCAGGAAATATTTTCATTCGAATGCCGTCTTTCTTGATGCTCTACTTCGTCCAAGGATGTCTCTTGAACAAAACTGGTTTGGGGAAGTACTACTAGCTTTGAATTCAACTATTTTATAGTTTCAAAAGCTTTTCCGGGTTGAAAAATTTACGTCAAATTTGTTACAAGGAGGATGAAATGTAAAAATAGGTCCGAAAATGTGCATGTTTTTCTTCTTTATGATCAAGTCAGACCCTTACTGAGCTGGAAAAACAAAGGTTTTGGAGTGGTATCTGGGCAAAATGTTGCTGATATGGACCATTTTCATAAGTTATCGGACATGTGTATTCTGCATGTGCGTGTGTGCACATGCACATGTGTGTGTGTGTGCCGCGTGCGTGCATGCATATCCGTGCATATACGCATATGTGTGTGTGTGTGTGTGTGTGTGTGTGTGTGTGTGTGTGTGTGTGTGTGTGTGTGTGTGTGTGTGTGTGTGTGTGTGTGTGTGTGTGTGTGTGTGTGTATGTATACTGCCTAACTCAGTAGCGTATCATCTCCACTGGAGATGGGTCGTCGAAGGTCAAGGTCAATGCATGTGTGCACGCATGCGTGTGTGCATGCGCACGCATGTGTGTGCATGCTCATGCATGTGTGTGCATGTGTACACTTATGCACTTGTGTGCGCGCATACACATTTTGTTTGCACGGTTATAGTGCTGAGTCTAAAACTTGAGGCACAGATGATATCTAGATGCTGGTGCATTCAGGCCTGTCATAATACTGACATGAACGACTGTTCAAATAGCTTTGAATGGAGTATCTACGAGTAGAGAACCGTGAGCTACCAACCACCATTCGCGCACATCCGGTGTTTAATGTTGCAGCTCTGAAGACGTACAATGCCAGCACAATGCCAAAGCGGACTCAGCCTGCCCCACCCCCATTGGTAGATGCGCACTCGCCACATCGTAGAGAAGGTGATCTCCCACAGAATAAGAGGAAGCCGCACTTGGTACTTAGTGAAGTGGAAGGGGTATGTTGATAGCACCTGGGAGCCAGAGGAGTTCTTGCTCACAGCGAGAGGCAAGGACGTTGTGGAAGCAAGGACGTTGTGGAGGCAAGGATGTTGTGGAGGCAAGGATGTTGTGGAGGCAAGGACGTTGTGGAGGCAAGGATGTTGTGGAGGCAAGGACGTTGTGGAGGCAAGGACGTTGTGGAGGCAAGGATGTTGTGGAGGCAAGGATGTTGTGGAGGCAAGGATGTTGTGGAGGCAAGGATGTTGTGGAGGCAAGGACGTTGTGGAGGCAAGGATGTTGTGGAGGCAAGGATGTTGTGGAGGCAAGGATGTTGTGGAGGCAAGGACGTTGTGGAGGCAAGGACGTTGTGGAGGCAAGGACGTTATGGAGGCAAGGACGTTGTGGAGGCAAGGATGTTGTGGAGGCAAGGACGTTGTGGAGGCAAGGACGTTGTGGAGGCAAGGACGTTGTGGAGGCAAGGACGTTGTGGAGGCAAGGACGTTGTGGAGGCAAGGACGTTGTGGAGGCAAGGACGTTGTGGAGGCAAGGACGTTGTGGAGGCAAGGACGTTGTGGAGGCAAGGACGTTGTGGAGGCAAGGACGTTGTGGAGGCAAGGACGTTGTGGAGGCAAGGACGTTGTGGAGGCAAGGACGTTGTGGAGGCAAGGACGTTGTGGAGGCAAGGACGTTGTGGAGGCAAGGACGTTGTGGAGGCAAGGACGTTGTGGAGGCAAGGACGTTGTGGAGGCAAGGACGTTGTGGAGGCAAGGACGTTGTGGAGGCAAGGACGTTGTGGAGGCAAGGACGTTGTGGAGGCAAGGACGTTGTGGAGGCAAGGACGTTGTGGAGGCAAGGACGTTGTGGAGGCAAGGACGTTGTGGAAGCAAGGACGTTGTGGAAGCAAGGACGTTGTGGAGGCAAGGACATTGTGGAGGCAAGGATGTTGTGGAGGCAAGGATGTTGTGGAGGCAAGGACGTTGTGGAGGCAAGGACGTTGTGGAGGCAAGGACGTTGTGGAGGCAAGGACGTTGTGGAGGCAAGGACGTTGTGGAGGCTAGGACGTTGTGGAGGCAAGGACGTTGTGCCTCTTGCACAGGGTAGACATACTACCTCTGACAAGCGAAACTTGGCGCGTTTTTTTTTTACTTCAAATCACTCGAAATAAGTCAAACTAAACTTTATACTTCGAAAATTATGATTGACTCACCAAAATACAACTAACTTTGCATTGCTCAACAAGAACATGATCATTAGAGACACAAGTAACAATTAATCCGTCAGGCGAAATAGCACGTCATCGTACATTTGAGACCAGCGGGAAGAAGATGACGACGTCCACTAATTTAGTATCTGTGCACACAAATGTGCTGTGTGTGTGACTTTGTGTGTCAGCTATGACATCAAACCCTGTGGTTCCATGCCTACCGTGTAGGTCAGAACCATCCTGCAAAATCTCAATGACGTAGGTAGAACGGTCGCTGAACGATTCTCCTTGGATTCAGAGATCGCAGCTTCATGTGGATAGGAATTGTTCCTGTAGTGAGACAAAAGTGCGACAAGAACGGATTCAGTTGCAGCAAGTACCTCTGCTGTGATCGGTCTGGAAATCTCGATGTCGCGTGTGTGCTGTGCTCGAGCCAGGATGTCGATGGTATTCATTTACGCCGCCACTCTCCAGGATGCCGTCAGGCGAAATAGCACGTCATAGTACATTTGAGATCAGCGGGAAGAAGATGACGACGTCCACTAATTTAGTATTTGTGCACACGAATCTGCTGTGTGTGTTACTCTGTGTACATGTGTGTCAGCTATGATAATTATCATCCCCTGTGGTTTCATGCCTAGCATGTAGACTCTACGTCTGAACCATCCTGCAAAGTTTGAATGACGTAGGTTGAGCGATCGCTCCGCGAAACATACTTTTTGAAATTCTCTTCATAGTATATCTTCCACCATTGAAATTTCGAATTTCTTGCTGAGAGGGGTGGCTTGAAACCTCAATATGGCTTGTTCCAGGCATCCTTTGGAGCCATCCCCTGTTGAAGTAGTTGCAGGGATCTGCCCTGCAACTGCTACAACAACAAAAAATGGGTGCCTCTGATCATGTTGTCATACAAGGCAACATACGACCCCAGCAGCACACCACCCACAGAAACAATAATACAAATAATAATAATAAAAATGAGAGCAGTACTACACAGCAAAGCACCTCCAGCACATACTGGTTGTGGAGCGAGGAACGCATTGCGTCCCTGCGTGAAGCTCTTGCTACTTGCAATCTGCAGTACGATCCACATCCCACTGACCCTCAGCCAGTAACCTCATTCTGGAACTTCTGGAGAGACCAGATACTGAAACTAGCCGTGCACCACTGCCAAGTGACCAGAAGCAAGTCCAGCAAAAATTCTACGCCCACTCGTCCCTGGATGACGAAGGATCTCCTCAGCCAGATCAAAACAAAGCACAAACAGTTCCGCACCTACAAGGCGACCCAACTAGACTCAGATTGGAAACTGTACACAGCCCAGCGTAACCGAGTAACCGCTCTTTTGCGACAGGCTAAGTCCGACTTTGTCCAGCAAACAACGTCAACGGGTACAAACCTCCACCGTCTACTGAAGCACCTGAAAAAACCGCCTAAGCAAAGAATTCCCACACTATCGACAGCCAACTCCACTGCAGCCACGGCTATGGAGAAGGCAACAGCTCTCAACAAGTTCTTTATCTCCCAAAGCCAACAGTCCATCGACAAGACCACCTGTACTACACCAGACATCAACACTACCCCTGACATCAGTCATACTCTTAAATTTAATACAATCGCAGCAACAGTGGAAGAGGTCGAGAAGCTTCTATGCAGTCTAGACACTGGCAAGAGCCCAGGCTTTGACAACATCCCAACTCGGCTCCTGAAAGAAACTGCAAAGGAAATCTCCCCATCTCTCACTAGTCTCTACAATCTGTCCTTCAGAACCGGAGAAATACCACAGGATTGGAAAGACGCAACTATTACACCCATCCCCAAGTCGGGCAACCCCTCCCATCCTACCAACTACCGACCCATCTCCCTGCTCAGTATAATATCAAAAACACAAGAAAAAAATAGTCCACTCTCGTCTGTACAAGCACATAGCACCGCACTTACCCTCCAACCAATCCGGCTTCAGGAAACAAGACGGGACCGAACTGCAACTCGCGCGGATCGTCCACCAGATATCCACAGCTAGGGATGCGGGGAAGCATGTTGTAACGTGTTTTTTCGATCTCAGTAAAGCCTTTGATCGTGTATGGCATCAAGGCTTGCTGAAAAAGCTGAGCCACTATGGTGTCGACGGCACGGCTCACAATTGGCTCGAAGCCTACTTGACAGGACGCAGACAGCGGGTGCAGGTTGAAGGCACAACATCCGCCTTCATACCAATACCAGCAGGAGTGCCCCAGGGCTCGGTCCTGGGACCACTTCTGTTCCTGGCGTACACCATTGACCTGCCCACTGCCTGTGAAAATGCTACAACCTCGTGTAGCCAGTTCGCGGACGACACCGCACTAATTGCCATTGCAGGCAGCTACATTGAGTGTGAGGCTGCGCTACAAAGAAGCGTCGATGCCACAGCAGAATGTCTAGAGCGCTGGCACCTGCTAGTCAATAAAACGAAAACCGTCATCCTCCCCTTCTACCATGCTAACCGACCCCCACCACGACTACCCGAAATAAAACTTGGCCAAACCCTATTAGAAACAGTAACACAACATCGTCACCTCGGCATCATCTTTCAGCACGACCTAAGATGGTCAGCCCACCTTGACTTTGTGCTGAAGAAAGCCGTAAAATCTTTTAATATTCTCTTTAGGCTCAAATCAACTCTACACACTAAATCACTCTCTCATTTACAAAACGTATATCCTGCCTATAATTGAATATGCATGCATTGCTGTCACCTCGCTCTCAATCGCAGCCCTTGACCGTCTTGAGCGAATCCAGCGCAAGGCGTAAGCAGAGCGACCAGAACGCCTGCCAAAAGCAGAGTAATAACCATCCTCTGCTACCAGTGTAACAGGTTTAATCGAACTTGAAAAGTAAGAGGTCTGGTGGAGCGTGCCTCGACCAGTTATATGCAAAAGGTGATAGTATACATGTGGCAATGGCGCCAATGAAGGTGCTAATAGACAGGCGTAAGACGCATGAGGTGCGAGGGAGTGTAAAGTTATAGCAAACAGGGGAAAACTGTTACACTACCTCTAACTAAGTCTGAGCTATGTGCCACTCACCAGCTTGTCACTTGGCTTCCTGCACCCGGTGGCATTGAGCTGCATGTGGGTTCTACCTCGTAGCCCTGTGAAGTACACGTGGAATTAGTTGTGCTACCAACGCAAAACAACAACAAGACACACGCCAAGTCAGAGGTAGTAGCTGCATTGGAATGAATCGCTGACCGTTTCTCTTGTCTCCAAAGACTGTTATTGCATTTGTGACTTTCGACAATTGCGTTTGAATAGGTAGGGATATTTGTACGTGCAGTATGAGCTTTTTCTACTTTCTTGTGCTACATTCAGCATGTCCTTTGCGCCTTTTGCTGTGACTATGCTGCCATAATTATAACCTGTGCGTTGGCTTGAACAAATTACTCTACTTCAAGAAGTCTTCTGATCTGTTAAACAGGTGTATGACAAACACACTACACGGTACCATTACGCGCCGAAAGTCGCATTGCAGTGGAAACACCTGAAGTTGTGTGTTGTTTTCGTGCAAACAGCAACCACGAATTGAATACGAAATATAACACTTTTCATTGTTCTCTTGTAAATACGGCCTAAAAAGGAATTCCTGTCAACCTTGATATCTTTTCCTTGCATAGGCATATTAACAATAATGGACTGACAGAATTGCCGGGTAGCCTGTTCAGAGACCTCATCTCTCTAACAGAGATGTAAGTGCACTTGAAGGAAAAGCCGTCTTTATGGAACTGCTGGAAACACTCCTTCTGTATTAACGGTGACAGTATAATGCCATTGAACCTGAGGGGTGATACCACACCAGGCACTCGTGACTCCTGACCTGTAGATCGATGTAGACCCTCTCACTCTATCTATCTATCTATCTATCTATCTATCCAGCCATCCATCCATTCATCCATCCATCCATCCATACATCCAATCATCCACCCACCCACCCACCCACTCATCCATCCATCCATCCATCCATTCATCCATCCATCCATACATCCAATCATCCACCCACCCACCCACCCACTCATCCATCCATCCATCCATCCATCCATCCATCCATTGATCCAGCCATCTATCTATCTATCTACTTCCTCTCTCCTCTCTCTCCCCCCCCCCCTCTCTCTCTTTCTCTCTCTCTCTCTCTCTCTCTCTCTCTCTCTCTCTCTCTCTCTCTCTCTCTCTCTCTCTCTCTCTCTCTCTCTCTCTCTCTCTCTCTCTCTCTCTCTCTCTCTCTCTCTCTCTCTCTCTCTCTCTCTCTCTCTCTCTCTCTCTCTCTCTCTCTCTCTCTCTCTCTCTCTCTCTCTCTCTCTCTCTCTCTCTCTCTCTCTCTCTCTCTCTCTCTCTCTATCTACTCTGTGTCTCTGTGTCTCTGTATCTCTGTGTCCCTCTGTGTGAACCTGTTGCTACTTGGTCCGCGTCAGTGATATTGTCGCTTATCTTTCAGCTTTGTTTATATGTCGCCAATGCTTACTTGGCAGCCCATTTCATCCCAATCTTTGTTAGCAAGTTAGTTTACTAGCGCCTGAAAGGTCTAGCTAGAGTTCGAGTGGATTTCTAGAGCGACGGGTGGGTGATTTTGATTGATACAGCGCCGCATCAAAATAGATTATTTTGTTACGCTGTGCAGGCAAGAGCAGCGCAAGCCACATGAAAGTAATCTGTTTCTCGGAATCAGCTCCATTTTGCTGAACGGCCGAGATCGCTCACCTCAGGGATCGCTCGTCAAGCTGAGATCGCAGCTCCCTTACCTCCAGCTCAACGCTCGGAGTATCCAGAGCATCGTGGAGATTTGCAAGTACTGTACGCGTCGGCGTCGTCGTTCAAAATAAAATCTTGCAAAGAACGGCGTCTGATTCGAACCACACATGCTGTCGTGCCGCCCACGCGAAGTCCTATAGAGAAGGCGACCGTCACGATCGACTTCTCTTTAGAAAATAGCCAGGCAGCGTAGAGGAAGAGAGATGAGCTTGCAAAAGCAAGAGAGTCGATCCCGAGCAAAAATATTTGTTGCCAGCGCCGAGAGCAGCGAGGAGGAGGACCGAAAAAAGTAGGAACCCTTCCTTGGACAATAAATTCCTCACAGCTAGTTGTCACTCTATACCTTACCGTCCATCGTACCAAGTTTTATCACTTCAAGTGCACGAGATCATGTCCAAAGGCGAAGTTCAAATTGTCGAAAGAAAAGCGACAATATTGCTGACGCGGACCAAGTACTTCCTCCGCGTCATCGAAATTGTCGCAGTTTGATTTTTGATATAAAACGGGGTACTTACTCACCAGCACTCGAATCAGAGGCAAGTAATCGGACATAGGCGATAGTCATCAGTATAGGGTGACGGCAAAGTTCTATTTTCTGTTATTGGAAGCTGGAATTTTTGAACAAGACGCAATTTCTTCGCTGATGTCGCTGCGATGGTAATTTCGACTCGCTGAGATCAGTCAGGCGTTGCAGCCTGCACATTTCTCGTGCTTATGGCCATTCACTCAAGCCTCATCACTGTTTTACCTTAGCTGGGGTGAGAATGACTTTGTGGAACAAGTGGCAGCGCTTGGAGAAACATCGAGGGGTCAGCAAACTAAATGCCTGCAACAGCGATAAAATTTCTCTGGCTGACACACACATGATTGTACCTGCAAGAGCCGTGTAGACTCTACACGTAGTGCTAGTGATGCACGCGCAGGTGCCGTACCATGGTATACCAGTGATGCTGAAAAAGAGGGCGCGCTGGACGTGATGGTACACTTACCTGCATGAGCTGTGACCACACAGCTAAAATAAATGGGCATGCCACGGCTAAAAAAAGTTCATTTCAAGATTGAGGTGATTCTGCCGACGGTAATCAACCGACCTCGCAACGATCGTGTATTCTTACTAGGCTTCGTTGGTGGTGAAGTAGAAATCATCCAGAGCTAGCAGACGACAAGCATAGCAGCTCTTGTCCTGTGGAGAAAGTCAAAGCGTTTGAGATGAGGCGCGACCAACTTTCAACCTTCCTTGAAATATTTCGGCACGATATTTTTGCGTCCATTGACATCAGCGACGACGAGGACTTCATCTCTGCATGAAAACTCTCAGTCCAACTGTCCTGGAACGTTACTCTAGTCTTCAGACTATCATACTGTGTAGTAAATTTTGAATGGCTTAGCTTATAGAGTTGTCAGTAACAAGTGACAAGTCACTAGTCAAACTGCGACAATTTCGATGACGCGGAGGAAGTACATTGTTTGGCTCATGGCAACCATTATCATTTTTGATTCCGGAATGAGAATGCTCATTCCAGCATGTGAGATGGAATGATCATTCCCCAAAAATTATCATTCTCAGAGATTCCCATTCTGGAATGGGACCAACCTAACTTGTTTTGACCAAACAAATTGGCAAGAATGATTCCTAATGATTCCCAGTAATTCCCATTTTGGAATGTGACCAACCAAACGCAACCTCAGCTGTAATGTCCTTTTCACAGATCAAAAATCAGCCTACGCATTGTCGTGGAACATCGATTTTCACGGATGGGTGCATGCACTCTATCAGCGCTGGACGCAATGGACAACGGAACAGGTTAGGTGAAACGACACTTTTTAGGGGGAGACGAAGAGACAGAGACCAAGACGAACGGAGCGACTACATTATGGAAGAGAGCAAGAGAGCGAGATCGAGTGAGGGCGGCAAGATAAAGGGCCTGGGTTGCTATAGCAAATACGGGCGCACAAGTAGCTACAAGGCCAACGGAACAAAAGGTGACAAAAGAAGACAAAAGGTTAGTACGACGTAGTATGGGGTGTATGCAGGCCAGCTTGGAAAAGGTTATAGAATGTACGGGAGGAGGCATCTAACAATAACATACCTTAGCATATTCAGGGTACCTGTCTAAACGAAATCCTCCCACCGTTTGGCAGGTATGTGTAGTAGTGGTTGCATAACTGTGTCTTTGATTTGTCTTTTCTTGTGCAGAGAGGCATATCAGAATAGATTAACTACACTACCAGCAGAGATCTTTCAAAATACGACAAAATTGTCAAGATTGTAAGTGTGTCTTGAGAAAAAGAAGTGGAAAGTATCTCCTGTTTTCGCTCGTGTAGTCACATGTGCATCAAGCTGAGTCTGCACTTCCCCAGCTGGTCTCGTCCACAGTGGTGGAATCTGGCAAAGACCACTCCTTCTCTAACCTGCCTTCCTCTCTTTAGGAATGGCACCTAGTCAGTGAATGGCTGATGCTATTGAACATAGCCGGCTGGTACATTAGTCAGCGCCTGCCGCACCTAGGCCAGCACACGGCAAGAACTTGCCTCAGATTTGCAATGTACATTTTTTACTAGCGAGACAGTGGTTGAGCTCCTCGAAACTCCTCGAAACTCCACAACCTCACCCAATGGGAGAGGTGGATTAGTTTCGAAGAGCTTGGAAAAGCTATGTCACGTAGTGCATGGAGATGGTCGATCTGATCGTACGTCATAATCGCCATGAAAATTCCACTGAAAATCTCTAAAAATGATAGAAACCGTTCTAATGGGACGCTTCAACTAATCTCATTATAAAATTTGTTTGAACAGTTGATGAAGACAATTCGAACGCGCCCTTAAAATCTGAGATAAAAGTCGCAGTGTGTATGTTATAGGGAAGGGAGAGCCAATTAGAATAGGCAAGAAACAGGGGAGATCAGAGAAGAACACATGAACGAAGTCGGAAAGCGAGACCTGGTTACGGGTATATCGACTGCGGTGGAACCAATGATACTTTTTTTAGGTGGTTCAGGATTTTGAGAAGAAATATTTTGTGTGTACAGGGGGCATGCAGGAACTGAAGGCGAACAAAGATACACAGGAGGCAAATCCTTCTCTCCAACTCGTGCACCAGCTGAGACATCTAGAGTCATATCACATACTGGTGGTACGTGTGTAAACGAAATCCTGCCATCGTTTGGCTGGTATGTGTAGCAGTAGTTGTATAACTGTGTCTTTTGTTTGTCTTTTCTTGTGCAGAGATTTACACCACAATTGGATAAGTAGCCTACCAACAGAGCTCTTTCAAAATGCACTAAACCTGGTTTATTTGTAAGTGTGTAAGAAGAGAGAGAAGTGCAAAGTATCTCCTTTTTTATTTGGGGCAGTCTAAGGTGCATCAAGCTGAGTCTGCCAAAGACTGCTCCTTCTCTAACCTGCCATCCTCTCTTTAAGGATGGCAGTTAGTTGGTGAACGTTTTTTTAAATCTTTTTATTCTCACTTTACTTGGGAATTCCCAACAGGCCACGGCCGTTCAGCCGCGGCCATCTAATAACATGGCGGCGATTTTACTGCTAAATCGCACATTTGTACTTTACACGTTCGATTAATGAAATTGGCATGGTTTCAGGTGGATCCTTTCGAATCAAGTAGAATCAAGTAGGTGACCTTAGGTAAATCGAGGTTTGGGAGTCCCGACCGAACGTGAACCGACTTGAAAAGAGCCAGAGAGTCACTGATTATTGACATGACCATGGAATGAAGAGAAGGATCGTGATGGCTGCCGCTTTCCTCGATGCCTTAGCTGCGGTGACTGGGTGGCCTGGACCCGGGCAGTATTCTTGTTAGGTGCTGCGAGGCAATTGCTTCGAAATGTTTCATGGGCGCAGGAATCTGCCAGAAACGCTTCTCCAGAGAGTTGAATTCCGCATGGGTGCTCTCTTAGCCTTGCTCAGCGAGCAAACCAAGGCCAACACGGAGTCGGATCATAGCTGGCACGGCATGCATCTCTAAAGGTGCAGCTATTAGGGGTGACGTGCCATTTGTTTCTCTTCACGATCTTGTCTCGTAAAAGCTCATGAAATGTTCGATGTTTCATGTTGCTGCTGAGCTTTGCTGAGTCCTCAGAGTACAATGGAACTGAAGAAGCAGTGCAAGTCTGAGTGAGCTACCTGATAATGAAGAAAAAGGGAATGAGCAGGAGTCAGCAACTGCCTGTCATCTGAAATTCTCAGTCCAGTCACACAATGTCACTCCTGCTTAGTTTGCTTGCACATAACCTCCGAATTGTGGCCAATGACAACTTGCTCATAGCCTTGCCGAGCTACGTAGCTGAGCTGGCTTTTGGTTGTTGTGGCCTTTTGCTCGGCTGCTTCCTCGTTAGCTGCCTTGCTGCAGTTTGGCGTATAGCATGACCCATGCCATAACTGCCTGCTGCCCTTGGATGCGTCAGACGCTTCACTGATCAAGCTCTTATTAGCTGGCAGGTCTAGATGCAACACTGGCACAAGTTAGCCCAGTGCAAGGTCGTTTCCACAAGGAGTCTGACGCAGGACATAACGCAGTCCTGTACTGAACTTTAAACAGTGCCTTTCTCCAATGTTGAGTTACTGTCATGCACTACGTATGTGCTCATTTCCCTGTTATTATTGCTGTGCATTGATGCTTCGAAACGGTAATGGCATATTGCTATCCATGTTATGCGCGCTTGTGTGTGTATTTGGTTGTGTGTGTGTGTGTGTGTGTGCGCGCACGCGAGCGCGTGTACGTGTGTGTGTGCACAGCCACGGCTATGAGTGCAGAAGAAAGCCTTTCTTGCTGTGACTCCATCCCATATGTGTGTGTGTGTATTTGCCTGTGTGTGTGTGTGTGTGTGTGTGTGTGTGTGTGTGTGTGTGTGTGTGTGTGTGTGTGTGTGTGTGTGTGTTCCATATCCTCGGCTAGGGTAGACTGGATAAAGGCAAAGGCACAGGCGGCCACAGAGTCGAGATTCAATGGAGCGATTGTATGGAAGTGCATCCATGACCTCCAGTCTTGTACCCGGGGCCTCGCCCCTGTGCGCACTTCCGCCGTGCTGGATGAGAACGGTAACATCTGTAGTTCACCAGAGGAGCAGAGCCACCAGTGGGGAAGACACTTTGACGGTGTCCTCAACGTGGCAAGTGCATGGAATCGCAATGCCCTGGACAACATCCCACAGCGACAGGAGGCTGATCATCTTGCTGAGGCGCCGACTCTCCGTGAAGTCAGCCGCGCTATCTCCCGCCCACAGAACGGCAAGTCTGCTGGAGCCTCTGGCATCCTCCCTGAGATGCTAAAGAGGGGTGGCCCTGACCTCACCGCCAAGCTTGTGGAGCTGTTTGGCGATGTGTGGCATGCTGGGGTGGTCCCGCAGGAGTGGGTGGACGCCACGTTGGTCCCCATCACAAAGAAAGGGGTCATCGAGTGTGTTTCGGAGTTCCGGTATCTGGGATCTCTCCCTCATCGCGGTGGCCGGTCGACACAGGACATCACTGCTCGGATTGCGCATGCCTCACGTGCTTGTGGCGCCTTGCAAGGAACCATCTTCAGCAATCCTGACCAGCGCCAAACTTTTGGAGATGTGGGGTGACACTGATACCATCTGCGTGAAGGTCGCACAGCGTCGCCTAGAGTGGCTGGGCCATGTTGCCCGAATGGACAGTAGCCGGATGCCGAGACAGATCCTGCTTGGCTCACTTCCCACACGCCGCCCAGCACATGGCCCTCACAAGCGCTGGAAGGATTGCGTTGTCTCCGACCTAAGAGTTCGTGGCCTCGCCAAGGAATGGTACCCTATCGCCTGTGAGTCAAGCGCTGACTGGCGGACTATGTACGCCGAGCCTGTGGAGAATGTGCCTCAGCCTGACCCAGTGGTATGTGCGGATTGCAATCGGTCAATCTCGCGCCCTGGAGATCGTGCTCGCCACAAATGTGTGATTGAGCGGGCAAAGCCGATTGCTGAGCAGCAAGGGGCTTGCCACTGTGGATATTGTGGGCGTTGGTTTCGAAGCAAGGGTGGTCTAGCCGTTCACCGCTGTTCCGCACCTCAGCCTCAGCCTCCCGAGCCCCGGCAAGTCTATGTGCAGGATGCCTGCTGTGCTGTGCACTGTGCTGTGTGTGACCGCTGCTTTCGGTCTGTGCAAGGCCGCGGTCGTCACCGGTGCTCGAGGACTGGCCCGCGCCCGACTGCCCATCAGAGTAATTCGTTCAGCCATGTATGCGTGTGTTCTCGCCGGTTCCGTTTGCCCCACCATCTCCGGCGTCATCAGGCTGCGTGCTCCATCTTCCTCTCTGATGCCCCTCCGGGGCCCATGTGACCCCTGTGGCAGTGGCTCTACAGGACAGGACAGGACAGGTGTGTGTGTGTGTGTGTGTGTGTGTGTGCGCCCACGGCTATGCGTGCAGAAGAAATCCTCTCTTGCTTTTGCGTGACTTATGTCTGTTTTGTCTGACTAGAATTACTCACAGTTTATCTCCCTGCACTGATAATGTTCTCTTCCAACTGTTACAATCATAATATGACTTGTCGCAGTGCCGGTCCTGTTGTTACAGCTGTGACAGTTGGTGCAGTTGGTGTGAATGATGAAGAAACTTGGCGAACAGTTGCAGTGATGGTTGATGTGGAAGCAAACTATTTTACTTGCTAGTGCAAGACTTTGGCAGTGTGGATGAGTGGCACAATGTCAGCTCTGCTCAAATTTTGGCCATCTCTCCATTTCGGAGACGCTTTGGTTGCGTAGCGTGCGCGCGCGAGAGAGAGAGTGTGTGTGTGCAACCCATACTACTGGCTCAGCACAGCCACAACCCTCTCATCCCCTGCAAGTTCGCTCAAGTGGATTCGTACAAAATCTGCACATAGAATGTAAAGTCAGTTTGGATGCACATACATATACATGGTATTGTATACATCATGCATGGCCAACATCAATTTTCACTTTTTTCAGGGCCTGCAATATTGTTTTCTGAAGTATGAGACGGTGTACTTGGTTGTCTGAGTCCGGCTGACTATTTCCTGGCCACCAACTCCACACCTTGACAGTAAAATGGCACGACGCTCGTCCATGAGTGAATATTGTCTGTTCCAATAACACAAAAAGCTCGGAAATGGGTGACGAGTGACTTTCGTTTCCGCGGAGTAACTTGGAACGAATTTCAATTTTTGGGCAGACGAAGGATGCCTGCACCCGTAAAAACTCACTAACAATCCCCCAAAACTCCACGACGCATGATAAGCAGCAAGAAGTTAGTCATCTACATCTCATCCTCGCTTCGATCGCCAACCAGCAAACACCTCGCGTAGCGCAGGATGAGGATGGAGGAGACGGGTGGAAAAGGCATCAAAACGCTCCTTGATGATTTCCAGTTTCGGAGAACCGATTTCCTCAGACTAACAGCAGCGAAGTAAGTCAGAAAGGCCTTGATTCGTATCAACTTTGGTCCAACTTTTTAGATGATTGGGATACGAGAAATTCAAAAATTTGAAAATCTGTGACGTAACGGCCGCCATATTAGATTGCCAGCGCTAGGATCACTTGAACGGTCGTGAGGGGTCATCGCCTTTTTCCAGGGAACCATAAGAAAGAAAGTCTTGATGGATACTCAAAATTCAGCAGGTGAATTAGAAAGGCGGTAAGCAGGTAGCAGTGCATTGCATTGCACTGGTCAGTGTCTACGTAAGAACATCAGTGTAATCACTATGAGCACGAACAGTAAAGCGGTCTTGTAGGAGAGAGCAAGCAAGGCTATTCAGGGAGCGATACACAAATACATAGGTCTTGAAATTGAGGCGTTGTTCAAGGGTGTATACATTGGTGTTCCTGTAGAGAAGGGCAGTTGGAGTCGTTCTATCCAAGGAAAATATCTCTTTAGGGCTAAGCGGCTTGCAGCAAGACGTTTGTTATAAAGAGCTTGCGACCAACAGTGTACATAAGCGGTGCTAGAATACTCAAGAGTAGACTAAATTATAGAGAGGTAGAACAGTCGCTTGCCAAATATACTGATATTCTGTTTTGCCTGGACAAAGGCTTCTCCTTTCTTGTTATCAGATACACACCGCTGCTACTTGGTCAGAAAAGGATATGGATGCTTATCAACTACTTGGTCAGAAAAGGATATGGATGCTTATCAACTACTTGCCGGTCCGACTTATTAAAATGTGCATTTCGCTTTGAGCGTCAACCAAACAAATTCAAATTATCTCAGGACGGAATAAACTTTACAGCTACCTAACACTACTTGTACCCTTCAGTTATCAATTTGTGATGTTGAAGAAGAAATGGCTCGAACTCCAACGGAGTCAGCGGCTTGGGATCCTAGTCGACTCGAGCATTTTGCGTCCACATTTTGTCGTCAGAGGACTCCTGTTGCTTCTCGCGCAACACAGAGAAGGCCTGGTGCTGAAATCAACACCCCGCTGCGATGGGGGATTGTCACGGAGTACCAGAACCTCCTGGGCGATCGTTCTCGAGTGCCTCCTGGCGGATTGAAATCGCTGCAATCGCTGTTTCCTTGGCAGAATTTCAGCAAACGCGTCATCCAGAAACTTGGCAGAAAGCACCAGCATCGCTCCGTCCAGTTTGCTGATCTCTCTCCCAGTCGTTCACGATGTGGCGGCCGATGAATCAAGATCACAGAAGTGATTGTCAAAAAGTTGATCGAAATAAATAACCGGCATTGAGGTCGACTTTCAGGCGACAACCTGGCTGGAAAACTGAAGCGCAGAAAGGGTGAATTATCCGGCGGATACCGTGCGTAGTCCTCGGAGCCGCGATCGCGATACGTCACAAGATCGCCAGTCTCCGCGGGGCCAGTGGATTCGTGAAACAGGCAGGGAAGAGCACGCATGGTCTGACTGCATGATATGTCGACACAGATCAGGCTCAGTAGACCTACGTGCGCGGTACACGGTGGTCAGAAGTGATTTTTTATCCGTGGTGGTTTACTTTTTCGCCTCATTTGGAGGTGTCGTGGGAGCTTCAGGCAAAAATACCTACAGCCACCATTCTGGTTGTCGTACTGCACGAGGAGGAGGCGAAGTCGATCGTCTAAATCGTGCCTATGGTGTGAAAAAAAATCAAAGAAGCGCAGTGTAGCTTGGAGGAGATGAAAAAAATGTCGACGTTTTGCAGGTTGACGCACTTGCAGATGCGCCCTGAGGCACCAGCAGCGATGAAAACTAGAAGGTCAGGCCAAGAAACGACACAGTAGTTATCTATCTACCGTCTCTTGGTTGATTTTTTAGTACAGGTGCTCCTTTGTACATATGCTTGAGTTTTGAAGTGAAGCGCACATTTTAATAAGTCGGACCAAGTAATATTCCTAAAGAGCGGGCGGAAGCAGAGGGGGCAATGGGGGTGTCATGACAGATAACTACTGTACCAGGTGGCATATCTGTGCCATGGCGACGAAGTATTAAAAAACCTGGGTCTTAGGTGCATTCAATAAAGTCCTTTCCTGTCAAGATAGCCATCGAGAGCAGCCATCGAGAGCAGCCAGGACCTCACTCAGTCGGATAGTTACTGTTTGACAGGAATGGCTACGGATATGGAAGGTTATATCATCTGCGAAGAGTTTGTTAGATTAATGCCTGAAGAATTGTGGATGTATACTGTAAAAGCCTTTATTCTAACGAGGCGCATATAAAACGATTTCCCAAAATTGACTAGTTTACGTGTACCAAAGCTAACTATTCTCACTCATTCTCAACGCTCAATAGGACAGTATATGTGTTGATTTCTGTATAACAATTTCTTTTCTATTTTAACGACAGATTTCTCCTCGTTAACTCGTTAGAGTCAGCACTTCGTTATTTTTATATACAGTCAACTTCGCTTATAACGACACTCTGTGGGGCGCGAAAAAGGTGTCCTTATTCGCGAAGTGTCGTTATACCCGAAGCCCCATTACAGTATTACAGTTGGATGTGACTTTGCTCTGGGCATGAAAATTCTGTCGTTATTCGCGAATTGTCGTTATATCCGCAGTCGTTATTAGCGAAGTTGACTGTATGGCTTTTACAGTATACAAAAGAGCAGTGGCCCAAGGACAGAGCCTTGAGGGACACCTCCTGTGCATGGACGGGTATCACCAAGTTCCTGTCCTACTCGAACTCTCCTAACGCGGTTTGTTAGGTAGCTTGCAAACCATGCAAGGGCGGTGCCAGCTATCCCCACATTCTGCAGAGAATGGCTGATGCTTTTGAACAGCTGGACATAGCTGGCAGGTACATCAGTCAGCGCCTGCCACGCCTAGGCCAAGACACAGCGGCAATTTGGCTCAGATTTGTGACCGTACATTTTCAGCTTAGACAGTACTTGTACTTGTTTTAGAATTTTTTATTCTCACAGTGGCACCATTTGTTGTTGTTGTTGTTTCAAATCTTTATTCTCACGATAACCAGTGGCCAATAAGAGATGGAAGTGTAAAAAAAGTATATAAAAAAGTAAATTATCTTGTCCGTTCCCGAAGGGAACTCACGATGGTTGCTAACACCCTGTAAACCCTAGCGGCAGATGCGACTCCTAACGGTGGGGGTGAGTGGATAAGTCTCACAACCCTTGGCACAAGTGCCGAGAAAGACCCCATCAGTCACATCCATATACCCATTGTGCCTGGCCACAAGTCATAAAAGTGTGAGAGAGGAGAAAATAGTTAGGATGAACTGGGTGGGCAGGGATTAATGACTACTTAACCCTTTGCGTGCTGAGTACGGGCTTTATGCATGACCTGATCCACTACGTACGAGTTAACTCGCAAAAATATTCGCGCGATATATCGCAAGTGCAAAGACCAGTGTACAAACTTTCGTAACTTCGTCAAACATAAACACATCGCAACAATCAATACACCGTTGGAAAGGTCTTGACCTCATCTTTCCGGGGATATAACGTTCTTTGCGATAAGATAGGATTGAGCGGCAACAAGATGAACACGAAAAACACGAGCCAGAGGGAACGCGAATTTTTTTGTTCATGACTTCTTTTTGTTGAGGAGCGTGCCAGGGGATTTCCCTTTGGCACGGCGTACGGGTGATGGACATCAAATGAAGCGCTTGGATCTCAGCTTTGCAGCGCAGTTTGAATCGTGATAATCGGTTGAATTTGGGTAAGAAGCCGAACAAGAATGTGAAATTGAGTTGTTGCGCCGTTCCGAGGCACGGATTCGCTTGGTCCTGATCTTTCCAACGAGCCCAGGATGATGAAAATCCGTCAAGGTGGAGTGAAATGAGAATACATTTCGTTCGGAGCTGTGAGCGCATACTCCACCAAGAGAGTTAGTGCGCTGGAAAGCCAGTGCATTGGAGAAAAGGGGCTCAGCATGCAAAGGGTTAAGGAGGCTCACACCACCAAACTCCAAAAGTTAAAAAACATGCAAAGTGCATATAAACCTGGGAATTTGTTCCTTGGGTAGTGCTTATGTTGATTGTCTAAAAAAATGGGGGTACCGATATGTTTGGCGTCGTGTGAGTTGTTTTTTTGGAGAGGCATCAATACATGAAATTTTGCCATTTCCAATAAGAAAAAGCTGTTCTGTTTCCTGTTGAACTGCATCTTCCTCAGACTTTTTAGTCTAATCTATGTAGGCCACAACTATGACACATACCCACCATTGATAATTGTATTATCTTACTTTCCTTAGGATATTACAACAATTTGGTGCATTTCGCAATTGCAGAAATATAGTACAAACGAGAGAGCTTGGAAGCTCAGGGCCCTACGCTATGCTTTTTTGCCTTGATGACCTAGACAAAAAAAGCATAGAGATGTTATAAATTCTTATAAATTTCTCCTTTTTTTGTAAAGACATAACCTGGGATTCCAACCCGCACTATCGCCCTGCATGCATCCCCCGATACACTTCGCATACAAACTAATTCTTCCAAGTTGCTTCACGTTATGATCTTGCATTTGAAAGCCCTATTTGAATATGCAATGTGGCCAGCCGTCGTTGATAGTACAGTGCGGGACAGGTACGGTCGAGGATAATACGACACCGTCTACCGCCTTGGTGACCTAGGCAAAAAAAGCAAAAGGATGTAATAATTTTTTCAAATCTCCTTTTTTTTTAAGCATAACCTGGGATTCGAACCCGCACTATCGCCCTACACGCATTCCCCAATACACTTCGCATTCATACTCAGTCTTCCAAGTTACTTCACGTTATGATCTTGCGTTTGAAAGCCCTATTTGAATAGTGCGGCCAGCTGTATGTGGCCAGCTGTGTTTGATGGTACGGTACGGTACGGGACTGATACGGGATAGCGCCAGGCGTGACACAAACACACAAACACACAAATACCAAATTAAAGCTGTGTGGACCCTGGCTAGCGCCAGACGTTACTGAAGTAACGTCTTCTGCATAGCTACGGGAATAAGTATGTATTCTGCACCATGGTTCAAGAATGGTATTTTTTTAATTTTTAATTTTTTTTAAAGAGAACACAAACCTACAAATCATGTTGACAGACAAAAAGTACATTGGACTGGGTAAGCGCTATCCACAACGCCAGTTAATAGCTGTGCTGATGAAATACATGGACTCTGCCGACCATGGGTCTCGGCGTCACAGTGCCATGTATGCATCAAAATTAATCATAAGTTTATAATGAGCCAACATAAGAAAGTGACTAAAGACAAAAAAGTGAAATAAAAAAATAAGACAAAACAAACAAGAAAGGAATAATAATAGTGGAAAAAAAGGGGCAGATTGAGAGATGTGTGGGTAGCTCTGGAGTGATAACGCAGGGTGAATCTAGACCAGAGTGGCTGGCAACTTTGTTGCAGGTGTGTGCAGCAGTGGCTTTCAGAGGTGGTCTGTAGCCCACAGCCAGTCAGTGTGTGGCAAGTGCTTCCATGCAGCTGCCTTGAAGCGGTGCAGCCGTTGCAGCGACATTGGTGGCTGGAACAGGGAGGGTGGCAGTTGATTCCACAAACTGATGTGGGCAAACGGGAAGGACCGGCTGATGTACTCCGGTGCAGCTGGTGGTAGGGTATTGAGGAGCTGGTGAGGATGGGTCACCGCATGCGTGTGTCGGGTTCGTGGACGAACCACAGTGGGTGCAGCTGGTGGGACAATGTTGGTCAGCTGTTGTGGGCTTTCGATGCACTGAAGCTTGTACATGAATTCAGTGAATAATTCTGGGAACACATAGTTCACAGAATGAGATTCATTGTCCAACTGTATAAACTAGGACTTAGCACAGTCACGGATAATGGAGTGAAAAATTAAACTTTAACATCACTGTGACAATAGGCTTGTGTTTTACACTGGATTTTATGTCACAAATATTAACTAATGTAAAATTTACACAGCCAATATGTACAACCAGACTGTATCTTCAAAAGTGGCATCCTCACACAGCCAATATGTACAACCAGACTGTATCTTCAAAAGTGGCATCCTCACACAGCCAATATGTACAACCAGACTGTATCTTCAAAAGTGGCATCCTCACACAGCCAATATGTACAACCAGACTGTATCTTCAAAAGTGGCATCCTCACACAGCCAATATGTACAACCAGACTGTATCTTCAAAAGTGGCATCCTCACACAGCCAATATGTACAACCAGACTGTATCTTCAAAAGTGGCATCCTCACACAGCCAATATGTACAACCAGACTGTATCTTCAAAAGTGGCATCCTCACACAGCCAATATGTACAACCAGACTGTATCTTCAAAAGTGGCATCGTCACACAGCCAATATGTACAACCAGACTGTATCTTCAAAAGTGGCATCCTCACACAGCCAATATGTACAACCAGACTGTATCTTCAAAAGTGGCATCCTCACACAGCCAATATGTACAACCAGACTGTATCTTCAAAAGTGGCATCCTCACGCAGCCAATATGTACAACCAGACTGTATCTTCAAAAGTGGCATCCTCACACAGTCAATTGTGCAGTAAAGCAATGGTTCCAACACAAGTCAGATCGGACAACCAAAAAATAACGAACAAAAACATAGATGGATAGTGAACACATGAAGACAATGACACGATACAACCTTTCATCTAGTAATCTCAACTCCACGATCCAAACACACCCGGAGAATTCAATCGTTGATGTCCTAGAAGGAATAGTTTACGTGGCTGACAAGGACACCTCGACGATCAGAGGTGGGTGAGCATCTATCACGAACGTCGAGGTGACCATGCCAGGCGGAAATCAACAAATAAAAAATGTGTGACACATACCTTCGTCCTACCAGGACATCCTCGGGAATAAGCATGACTTCCTCCTTCATGATTTCCTCCTTGTATCCTTCTGCCTCATTCTGCGCAGAGTCGCGCTCTGGTTCTTCAAGCCTCACCAATCTCAGACTCCAGAACAGGCTCGACGTATTTTGTCGTGTTTTTTTTCTCGCGAAAGACTGAACGTGACATGCAACTCTCTCCTTGGACCACCAAATTCGAACACTATGCAGCAGCGGCCTTATTGGGAGCCTAGTGCTAGAACTAAGTCAACTGAACTGGCTATACTATGCGAAGAAAGGAAAGGCAGCCATTACAAACGCCATGGCACAAGCAAGGAGAATCAAAACACAAAGTCCAAAAATTTGAAGTTCAGCCCTCACCAACGCTGTACAAAGCGTCACTGGCCCGTTTGTCAACGGTCGCGCTAATCGACCAATCAGCGTACAGCTAGTGCACCAAAATTCTCAAACTTACCGTAATTCCTTGGTTCATACGGTGTAGTTTCCAAAGATTTTTTATGGACCAACGTCTTCTTTCGATAGATACCAACAGATCGTCCGCTTCGAATTTTTCGATTTGATTGCCGTTTGGCCGAAAATTACCTCCAAAATCGACCTCCACTCATTTCACTTCAAGGCTTTCCAGGTGGACGGCATCGCAATTCGGAAGCGGAGAAAGGATAGCCAGTGAAAAAGAAAAACAACGACGTATTGGTTGTCAAAATCGACCAAGAAATGAATTCAATAGACCCGTTTCCGTGCTGCGCCCTCGCGGCCCGCGCGAGTGCGAAAGAGATTCTTTCTCGACAAACCAAACAACAACTACGCGCAGTGCATGCTGTAGCTTTTTGCAGTGCAGTACACTGACATAACTGCACTGGCTGTACATACAGTGTACCTTAGGAATATCCTGTTCCTTTCCAAGGCATGATTGTCGCTAGTGGGAGAACTCAGGCACCTGAAGCTTTCATAGAGGAAGAAGTAGTAGGTGAATGAGTTCGCCAGAAAATGGAACGCCAAGAAAATAGATACTGTTGCTTTCGGGCGCTCATGAGACGACGGCAAGATAGGACTGAAACGATCGACACTCTATCTTGACGCAAAAGAAACTCTTCTAGGAGAAGCTCGACGCGCTGTAGAGTTTGCAGTATTCTGCTGGAAGAAGACAAGAGAACTAAACTCAGACTACAGCGTGGAGCTGAAGCACAAGCGAAGCAAAAGCTGAGCGAGTTCGAAGAAATGGGGAAACACAGGGAAATGAGTGGGCGACATGATCTTTACTACTTTAGCTCGAAGCTCGCGCTAAGACACGCGGGGGGCACGTGCGCCTACGGGTAGCGCGGCCAGCCACCATGTTTTCAAAATGGAGGTCGACGCTTTTGAAATCCGTGTAGATGATGGTGAGGGCTGAAGTTTGAAGAGAGCACGCAGAAAAGTACAAATGTTACGTTTGCACGCTTCAAGTCGCGCTTATAAAAGTACTAGCACGCTTCGCTCACGTGTCAGCAGTAGGTATTTTTTTTACGATGCGCGCATGTGGGCCGAGCCACCTTAACAATGTAACCTAATTTTCTCACTACGTTGTTGTCACTACTTCGAAGTATTATTATTTTCCTTCGATATTTGTGTAGTTTCTGAACTTGATATTGTACCACCTTGTCACGAGAGTGTTGGTATCTCATTATCTTTACGCTATAAAAGTTTTAGTCTTTCTAACTTGAGCCATTCCCTGCACAATCCTAGATAAGAAGGGACCGACAACATTCAGATACTTTTTCTAACAGGTGCCTTTTTGAATGGATGTGTGTGTTTGCATGGATACTTGCGACCTAATACTTACCCTCATTTTTTAAATTATTATTGCAAATAACGCTGAGTAATTAAACAATGTATAAAAACCAGCATTTACCAAATGGAAGGAAGAATGAGGAACGGGCGGGACTGAGGTGCTTATACGCATGCAACTGCAGAATAGGCGGAACAGAAAATATCAAAACAGTCCTAAAAATAAAAGAATGATCAACAATTTACTTGAACAAATACAACTGGAAAAACTGCTGAGTACTAGTTATTGCTTTATTGAAATTGTTGTCTCCACGGTGTTGATTCATGCATTGAAATACATGTCATATTGTTTCTTTTCTTTGTGTGTAGGAATATTTCTTATAATAATATGACAAGTGTACCGGCAGGAATGTTCAATATAACACGTTTGTATGTCCTTTTGAAGGGAAAATGCAATGCTGCTGAAACTGCTGAAAAATCCCTCTGCGGTAGCTGCAGCAGTTTAATGATATTGATCCTGCCTGGATTTCGTTGACAGATTCGTTAAGCCCGTGGATCCTTCCATGAGTGATATGCGAACTGCAACTATTATTTCTCCTTTATTCACTTCTTTCGAAGGCGATAAGCCAGACCCACCGGGAAATATTTCCATGGGTGGGACAGCAAAAAAGAAAGTGAAAAAACAAAAACAAAAATAAATAAATAAATAAAACCTAAAAACCAAAGGGACAAGAACTAGTTGAAGGAAGAGGAAGAAAGGAAAGAAACTCAATCCGAACTCCAACATCAAAACAATAATAAAGAATTTGCAGCGACAGGCAAAATACATCAACCAATGAAGGGAGTAGTAACAAAGGAAATATCAGTCTTTATCAGTCGTTATTCAAGTCTCTTAGCTATTGAACATGCAAACGCAGCAGAGGTGCATCTACATGTTAAGGATAGTTCTCAGTATTTTAATCGAACCTTGTATAGCCTCCTGTTGCACAATAGCCAGGTCTCCTCCCTGCACAGTCCGAAGGCATTGAGGAGTCTCCCCCACCAAGCCTCCCAGGGCACCGACAACCACAGGGACCACGTCAACCTGGTTGAGGGACCAAATCCTCGAAATCTCCCGCTTCAAATCATAATATTTCGAGCGCTTTTCAGCCATTTTCTTATTGATGTTGTTCTCACCAGGAACGCTGATGTCTATAATGTAGGCGATGCGCTTATTATTATTATTATTATTATTATTTGAAACTCTGGTATTGAGCCAATAATAAAGTAGAAAGGAAAAGGACATATGGAAATGAGTTAAGAGTAACTCTCCACCACTGTAACTAGATGCTATATACAGTCAGAAAGTGCCTTCCCCTCTTTGGTCTTTCCATAACCTTGAACCTTCCAAGTTGGAAGGCTGTCGGTTAGCGCTACGGAGATGTGTTGAAGCTAGGTGTCAGGACGTCGAATGTCTCAGTACTCTGTCAGTTTTGTGCCTAGTTGTTGCACTTTCTGACTGTATATAGTATCTAGTTACAGTGGTGGAAAGTTACTCTTAACTCGTTTCCATATGTCCTTTTCCTTTCTACTATTATTATTATTATTAACTGGTTTGTGGGAAAGAGACAGAGGGAAAGAGACATTATTATTATTATCCTGATGGAACAATACTTTTGACACACCCAGCATTTGTGTCTCCCGGCCTGGTGATGGATATAATTCAATTACCTTTTTTCTTAAAAGGTTTGGATTTACATTGTCGCGACTTCGGCGTTGATTTCTTAGGATAGGGTTTGTTCCACATACTGGAGCTTCCGCCGACTTGTCTTGACTCCAGTGTGTGGAGCAAACCCTATCCTAAAAAATCACTTCCGAAGTCCCTACCACTTATTTGTACTGTTGTGCCGAGTGCGGGCTTGCGACTAGCTGGTTTGGAGATTACAGCGTTGTGAATGACCAAGGATCCTCGACATCTGTTCTCACTGTCCAGGAGCGAGACTGATTCACACTGTTGTTGTTGTGCTTCTATCTATAGTCGTTCAACCACACAGGCAATGGTGCCTTCTCACAAACAGACGACTTAAAAGAGGAGAGGGCAGAAAGAGAGTGTAGAGGGGAGAAAAACAGGCACGGAAGGGAGATAGAATGGAGAGGATAATGTATACCGTAAAGTCGCGGATAAAAGCCGGGTTTGCATACAAGCACATTGCGGATATAAGCCGGGTTTGCATACAAGCACATTGCGGATAGAAGCCTGAAATCAAACGGGTCAAATGCATATAAGCCTGTCACGCGTAGAAGCCTTGCTTCTATGCAAGCGCGGATTGGGTAGGTCAATAGTGCATGCGCTATGTACAGTGCATAGTAAAACTGCCGCCATACCGGTAGTCAGTGGTAGACCTACGCGTGTCGCGCGTAGAAGCCTGGCTTCTATGCAAGCCCGGATCGGCCGATGTGCATACAAGCCTGGTAAAAATATCAGTGGTGCATATAAGCATGGTTTGCATACAAGCCTGGTTTGCATTGAAGCCTGATGTAGAAAGCGGCTTATGTGCTTATAAGCCCGGCTTTTATCCGCGACTTTACGGTATTAGCACACGAAGAGACGAAGCTAGTTGAAAATGTGACGAGGCCTTTCGTACTATTACTCTTCAAATCAGTACATGGTGATAATGTGACGAAACACAACGAGTGATTGACATCGTTGTGCTTCGTCACATTATCACCATGTACTGATTTTGAAGAGTAATGGCACAAAAGGCCTCATCAGATTTTCAATTAGCTTTGTCTCTTCGTGTGCTGATAATGTATAATTAAATTTATAGAATAGACCGATTGCCATTTGTTAGTGCTGAAACAATTTTATCGATTACTCGTTACTTACTCGATAAGAAATAGATCGAGCGGTTAGTTTAATTTTATCGGCTGAACGAGTAGAACGGTACTTACGCTCGGTACGGGATCTCCCCCCTTTCGGGGTTGCATAAAGCGTGCATGCACCGAAAGTGGTGCGAGTACGACACGCTTATGTACATGACTGTACACTTGCAATATCGATGAACGTGCAAAAGTACAAGCGTGATCTGAGAAACATCGACGCAATCACAGTCGTCGTGTTTTCAGCTGACTGCTTTTCTTACGTGCAAAATGCAAGACTGGCAGGCTCAGTACGTGTCTACACTAGCTGCAGGGGCTGGAGTTCCCTCCACATATCACATGCGAGTAGTCTTGAGCTAAAGACAGTAAAGTAGTCTTTAGTTTCGTGTTTTTCGTCACAGTCTGTCGACGGTTCGCGAACCAGTTTGCTCGACTACGAGCTAGTCCTGGCGTCTGGGCATATTTTGAACACAGACAGGAAAAGCAACTAGTTACTTGTTGGCGTGCCTCAAGTCAGCTCATCCATCGAAATCCGCGGATCTGCACCCCTTGCCAGCTTCTCTGACTTCACTGTCGAAGTCAGCGAAGTCACAGCCGAAGGGCACCATCAGCTCTTGCGTTGCAACCAGTGTGTTGCCTTTGTCTTGTCTGTATTTGTCTGGTCAGCCCGAACAGCTGACGGACTTATTGCGGGATCATCGGATCTATGCGCCCGCTTTCTGTCGTTGGCGATCTTGGACTCGTAAAAAAAATTGAAATTCACAGAAACTCGGATGTTGAGCCATAAATAAATGTAGAAGAGAAAAGGACATATGGATACGAGTTAAGAGTAACTCTCCATCACTGTAACATGATACTATATACAGTCAGAAAGTGCAATAACTAGGCACAAAACTGACAGAGTACTGAAACATTCGACGTCCTGACACCTAGCTTCAACACATCTCCGTAGCCATTTGTACAGATCCACGAAATCCCGTAGAATCCCTTGGACCCGGTAGGGTGTTGAATGTGCAGGACCCTATTGTGTTTTCTGCTATTTCCACTAAGAAATGGAGCCTGAAGGCATTTCATACGAAAACCCTTTTCTGACAAAGATCTAGCTAGTCATTAGTTCCAACCAAAGTGAAGAAGCTGGAAAAGCGATTGCTGGTCATTGAATTATGACGCTAAAAAGGTGAAATGTGCATGCATAGCACACAATGAACACCCTACTGGGTCTACGGGATTCTACGGGATTTCGTGGATCTGTACAAATGGCAATCGGTCCATTATTTATCATATACATGAAGACAGTTGACCCGGGTCAAATACTGATATGCCGCCAAAAGTCCACTTCTACAGTTCCGAATAGTCACGTGAATCCTTTCGCGCGGAATTCGCATGTACAGTGCTGTTCAGACCTGGCGGGAGATACGCAACCCGGGGCAAAATTTCAACCTGGGTCAAGCGCAATGCGTCATGTAAACGCGCCATTCATTGTGTGTACATGGCGGGTTGAAATCTGACCCGGGTAGAACTCAACCCGGGTTGAAACGCCTCATGTAAACACAGCCTTATTATTGACCACCACAGAAACTTGTGATCTCTATTAATAGGCTGTAATCACGCCATGGTACAAAGCGCTGCGTCTACGTCCACTTGAGGAGTTTTTGGTCGGTTGTCATGATGATCCGTATACGGGGTGAAAACGGGAGCAGAGGAAACAGGAGACGTAGACGTGGTATGGGGAGGGGTATACAACTTTTTGTATGAACGTGCGTATCTCCCCCAGCCTTTTTCCAAGCGACCCTGTACTTCGATGTACGTGCGTTCAAATTTCTCGAAAAGCCTGACTGCGTACGCGTGTACGCGTCAAGAACTGTGCCTGTCTGATGACACGACCACCCGTTTTGATTTTTTCACCATAGACGTAGACGTAAACGGGAGTCGGAGAACGTAGTGTGATGATGGCTTTACCCCGAGAACTTAGAACTTTCTCCTCAGCTTAGAAAAAAATCAGAACTGAAAGAAGAAAATCTGAAGCCAAATGTTGGGATTTGAACCCCCAAATGTTGGGATTTGAACCCAAATGTTGGGATTTGAACCCAAACTGTCAGATTCTCAGTCAAAGAACTTGAGGAACATACTACAAGTGACAACTGAAAACTTCTGTTTAAAGAGAAGTAATGTCCAATGCAAACAGTATATGTACATACTATGTACTATTACCGTATTTCCCCGTAAGTAAGTTCTCCCCAATGACTTAGTACCCCCCTATAAGAAATACACTTTCCACTGCCGAGGCTATCACCCCGAAAGACAGTTCCCTCCAAAAGATAGTAAGTCCGTACCCGTCCTACATGTACAGACACCGTACACTACATACATCATATGCACGGACACTAGAGTTGCGCAGGCTTCCTACTGCTTGTCATTTACCCCCGATAAAAAGTACTCCCCGAAAGATAGTACCACCCCCGAAAGTTACTGCTCATGTGGCTGCTAAGTTCGAAAGTTAGTACGTACTAACTTACCGGGAAATACGGTACAAATGTATAAATTACAATTGGGGATACTGTAGGATAGCAGTTCAAAATTGGAGCTTTAATCTTTTTGCGGAAGGCAATGCAATTTGGCCCTTTCCACGGCAATTTTGTGATAATACGCGTTGTAGATTGTGCAGAAGCTATATTTGGGCTAGTCTCAAGAACTCTTGTCACGTCTTGCTTCAATACTTTGAGTGGGTAACCGTTAGAACACAGAATATCTTCTAGCTTAGCAATTTCAGCTGATAATAGTGATGGTGAGCAGATGTTTTTAGCTCTGAAAGTTAATGATCTGATCAAATTCATTCAAATTAATTCTTCTACAGAATTGCTCACCACAGTACAGTCAAATCTGTCGTAAGCGACCGCCCCTTGGTGCAAGAAAAAGCGGTCTCTTAAAGCAGATGGTCTCTTACGGCAGATGTATGGTAAATCCGGCATACCGGGCATGCATATTATTATGCTTCCATGTACTCAAATCGACGAGAATAATGTGATTTTCGATATCATTTTTATTGGATATAGGGGCGCACTTGCAAGACAGCGCATTTTCACACCTTGCATGCAGTTGACAGCACACTGGCAAGTACAGTTTCGCACCTGACTGAACGTGGGTCGCGGTCGCTTACAGCAGATTTGAATGCACCCACCGTGCATGAAATCGCGATCGCTGGTCGCGCACAGCAGATGGTCGCTCTGGACAGATCAATTTGTATGTGAAACCGCCGGTGCACGGAAAATCGGTCGCTAACGGTAGATGGTCGCCTACAGCAGAGGTCGCTAACGGCAGATTTGACTGTATATAGAAAGCCGACGCACACAGGTCTTTACACACGCTGGGACTCGTTTTGTGACACTATAAACAAAATCAATGACAAATAACGCCTAAGCACCTAAACATCGCCCAACAAACACCAGCCCTTGTCTATTTTCCCCGCCTGCTTCCTCTTTCGTATGAAGAGGGCTATATTGTAATGATTATTGGAGTGATACAATTAGACAAAAAGTGGTAAAATATGAGCAATAGCAACGACGTAAGATAATAGCTATGAGCTATACACATTAGCAAAATGAACAATATGCAAACTTACGAATATAACTTGAGTGCTACAACATGCTTCTCTTGCCTACACAGAACTGGCATATACAGACGAATACACACAGCTTCAAACACCTGTAATAATATTGTCGAGCATATCAATTCCGTAGGTGCTGGAACGATTACGTAATGAAGGCAGCCCGCCGCGGACTTACCCATAACCACAGTTGCATACTCTTGTTCATGCACTCTTGGTAATATGCATGAGCCCCATCGATGTCAGGGTTCTTAGGTCAGTTTCTGCTTTGGACTGCCCATATAATGCCAATTTTTTTCTCTTTCTCTTTGTATAGGGATATAGGATATAATGAACTGTCCACGTTCCCTAAGGGACAATTTACACATCTTGGCAAGCTAGACGCTGTGTAAGTTCTTTTGAAAGGAAAATGCAATGCTGCTGAAACTGCAGTCTGCAGCAGGGAGTAGTGCAATACTATAGTATTGTACTACTCCCTGCTGCAAACAGTCCTTCTGTGTGGCCTGCAGCAATTTAATGGTATTGAAAATAATGGGGAACTACTTTTGTCACACCAGGCATTAGTGACTCCTGGCCAGTAAAAAGAGTACAACAATGTGAAGATGATGTGTGAGATTCTCGGTGGTTTATTTTGTAGTGGTTACCCAAGGGAGCCTTCTCCAATTACATCCGACGGTTCCCGTAAAATTTCTGATACCGCTCCCGTACTGCCCGCTCGGTTTCCCCAGACATACAGCCAGTGACAAAGTGTACAAAGCAAGAATGCTGCTCGCTCCACCAATGGCGCGCCTCACCAGTGGAAGAAACCGGACCAAGTCCCCGACGGCCTCCTCATCTATGTATCACTTGTAGAGGCAAGGTTGAGTGTCATGCAATGCTAATGCGTCCTCTTTCAATGATTGGGTGTTGGCAGGGCAATATGGTTTCAACTCGCGATTCCTGTTAGATGGCGGTACTGTTTGGATCCAAACTCGAAATGTTGTTGGTGAGCCCTAAAACTTGTAGTGCATGCCTCAGATCCTCAACCCTGAGACCAAGCAAATCCATGTTGATCTAACACTGGTCCAGTAGGGATGTGGCCGCATCAATGACATCGGCTACTGGGATGTTGGTGTAAAATGCCCCTACAACTCACAAATGTGGTTGCTGTGTAGCTGCTTGTGTATCTTTAGTTCACGGATGCAGTGGTCGGTCAAAGAAAGATCTGATGGGACAATGCTGGGCAATTGGCTACAATTCGCTCAATCAAGCGATACCTTGCTTGTAGGTTCATCCTAGCAGCTGACAATGTCTGCATGGGTATATCCTTATTATGATCTTTGCAAAGGCGGTAAAACTGAGTCAGCCTGCTGTAGCTTGACTCTGGTCATCCGTAGGCTGATGTCGCTGATGCGGAGCTCCACTAATCTAGTGGTAGAGCTCTAGTATGTCTCCATCAAGTATTCTAATCTTGCTTTCTTCTTCTGCCTCCCATGAGCGCCCCTGGTTGGAGGGCTAACATAGCTATCGCAGTTTCATGTCAGTGTCAAGTGTTGGCTTGGCCAGCACAGCTCCCCCATGCCATCCAGCACCACCAATTTGTCCTGCCACCGTTGTTTTTGTTTTTTTGAATTCTTTATTCTCACGATGGCACCATCACCAATAAGAGATAAATTTATGAGAAGGTGAGATTGTGGGTTAAACAGTTGGAAAGTGATTTACATCACTTTGAACATTACAAGTATGGGAGAGGGTGAGCCAAGTTTCAGGAAAACCCAAAAAAGGATGATGGGGGAGATGTCCTCAGTGCTAGAAGAGGTGGTCTACTATCTGCCAGTGTATAGTGTTTGCTTATTGAGGACGTAGCTCGCTGTTTTTATCAGCGCTCGCAATTTGCTATTTTCAAGACGACCATTTGTTGCATCAAGGCATGATGGCCCTCGTCTTCTGGGATGCTGGCGTGGCTACGCAGTGCTGCCCCAAGAACTCTACTAAGGTGAGGCAATGTTGGCTTGATGGAGATTTGTTCGTAACTTTTTATTGTACGCTGTGGCGTCGCTCGTTTGTAGTCCCATGAATCATGTGATTTTTCTACCATTTTTTTATTGGTATGCCAATTTCTAGGTTCCCTTCAGAATATTTCCTGCGGGATTTGCACAGTCGATCTACACCCCAAAGGACACTTAACTGCAAAATTTGGACAAAATTGGAGATATTGACTTGCACAAATGTTCTGGTTTTCTCATATAATTATGCTCTCTCTCATAGAAACAACATCCACGACTAGAGCAGCTGGTGTGGAACAAGCCATGGTGGCGGTGGCGTATACACAGTCAACATGCGATGACAATGCTCTGACACCAACAGTCGGCTCGTCACAGACAAACCCATGACCAATGGCTACCAGCTCGATGTGTCTATGACCCCGCCGTACATCTTTGGACTAAACTGTCTTCTTTGGTGGTGGCGGCGGGTGGACTGTTGAGTTGGTTGGAGGAGGCAACCAGAAGCGAGCAGGCCGGTCAAAGGACGAAGAGGAGGACGAGGAGTATGGGGTTTAGTCGGTGGAGCAGGGAGGAGGTGACCAAAAGCAAACACGGATGTCGGTGGATGAGGAAGAAGAAAATGAGCGTTCAGATGAGTCAGTTGGAGAAGGTGATACCGAAGATGGAGCAGATGGCGATGAAGTTGGTGACGTCGAGTTTTTATTGTGACCCAGAGGTGGATAGCAAGAAATCTGCAGTGCACTGGCATTTGGCAGGTCACCTTGATTGTTGTCATTCATACTCAGATTCTTCTTTCACTGTGTTGTGTCGTGCGGGTCATGCTCATATTATGTGGCGTAAAGTTGTAGAGGCAATCTTCATGCATGTGTACAAGCCAATGTTGTGTGTACAGAAGGAAAGTGTTATTGTTGTAGTACGATATTTTGTGTACGTCATGTTGGTGCATGCGCGTGTTGCTGTGGTGTGAAAAGCTGTCTTCATCTTGAGTTCATGATGTCTTCGTCTCGAGTTCGTCATGTCTAGTTGTGTTTCCGTCGTCGTCTTGTAATAAACAGTCTTCCTAAATGTAGTTATCGTCGTCATTTTGTATAAGTGTGGAGATGGCACGGGACTGGGAGCAGGTAGAGAGAAAGCGAGTTACAACAGTGGTGGCAGCGGTGGCCACTCGTGCAAGTCGCTACCAGATGATGATCTACAACAGCAGTGCCTACTAGTGCAAGTCGCTACCTAATGATGACTACTCTGCGGCAAGTCGCTATCAACTATGATTAAGTCTACAAGGTGTTGATGAAGGAACTACAGTTGTAGTCACAGGCTAAGTCAGTGCTGCTGTGTACCGTGATTTATGTCCTGCTGAACGAATAAAACCCTCCACCGTATCGCTGCTGCCGTGTTCTGGTATTTATTTGAAGTACTGTATTGCAATTGGTCAATGTGGATAGTGCTTTCAAGATAGAAGAGCAAGACTTGTGGACTTGTGGAGATTCAAGGAATTGGAACTTTTAAGTGCTTGTTTAATACGTTACACTAGATTGTTAACATAGTTTTCCTTGCATAAAATTTAATTTTAATCTTGGAGCATAATGACACAACGGGGTGGGAATGCACAGCAACCACAACAGGCAGTACAACAGCGAGCATTGGCACGACCGGTGATAGTTCCGAATCCGTACCTGGGGAAGGGCGATGAGGATTGGCAAAGTTGGCTATCCTCATTCAATGCTGCATGTGTTGCCAATGGTTATGGCGATGAGGATAGAATTGTGTTCATGGGAGCTAGACTGGAGGGAATCGCACATCAAATTTTCAATACCGTGCGGGCGGCAAACCCAAATGACACGTATCCAGTTTTATCCACAAATCTAACAGCCCACTTTGAGCCCGTGCAACAGCAACAGCTGCGGGAGGTGGAACTCAGGGCCAGGGTAAAACTGTCAAACGAAACACAACCAGCTTTTGCTGCAGCTTTACGTTCCCTTGCATCACGCGCTTTCCCGGGCCAAGGTGGAAATATTGTCGAAAGAATTGTCCTGCAACAATTCATAGACGGGCAGAACACATTAGAGGTACGCCTGCAGCTAGCGTCAAACAGGCCGAACACGTTAGATGAAGCTGTACAAAGAGCAATCACAATCACCACGGCATATCAAATGGAGGCAATGCGTGCTCCAAGCTGTACGGCATTTCACCTTCGGAGCATTTTCAGGTCGCGGCAGCAACAGCTACTGCAAATGATGTAGGAGTGGGTGACCTAATCTCACTTCTAAAGAGCATCGACCGAAAGTTAGACCGGATGGCTCAAGGCACGCAAGAAAGTAGACAGCACACCAGGCCACAAAACTCAGGGCCCAGAGCCTGCTACAACTGTGGAGAAATCGGCCACTTCTCCCGGCATTGCCCCCATCCGCGTCGACAGGGAAACGGTCAGTGACTGGCTCTGAGGAGCAAGAGTCAGTCAGTCATGATGTTACCGTAGATATTTCATCAAGCGTTGCCAGTATCAGGTCACGTCGATGTGTAATTAATTGTCAGCTTAATGATGTAGTTGTTACTAATGTTTTGGTGGACACTGGCTCCTGCGTGTCGTTAATCAGTTGCAACAAATTAATGGAAATTTGTCCGGGTGCTGTGCCAAGCCCCGACAACGCACGAGTTCATTCGGTTACTGAGAGCTCTCTTTCAATTATGGGTACTGTTTTTTGCACCGTTGAAATTGATCGGCATGAGAAAATAGTGCAGAAATTTCTTGTGGCAGGAACATCAATCCAGAGATTATCTTAGGCACAGACTATTTACACAAGTCTGGTGCCAAGATCGAGTTTTCAAATGATGGCTGGACATTTGAGCAAAGGAAAGCAGTTCCAGCAGAGTCAATGCGCATCCGGGTAGCAGGCAAGACCGTCATACCAGCAGAACATGTGTGCATGGTGCAAGTAACATGTGACAATAGTAGCCAAGACGAGTTGTATCTCCTAGAGGGTCTAGCAGCATTTCAGGAGAAGCATCCACTGTTAGAGATTGGAGGGGTACTCCTATCTGGGGCTCAAATGTCTGAATTTTGCATCCCAGTGACAAACAGAGCAACATGTAATGAAACTTTGTACTGTGGTACAAATGTTGCTGTAGCGGAAGTGTTCGAGGAGAATGACATTGCAGAGGAATCCGCAGCAGAGTCTTGTGCGTGCACCGTAGACTGCGATAGTGCTACTGGTGACACAGGTGAACAAGAGTTGCGAGAATGGTTACGTACGCAAAGTCTCCTCAATGCCGAACAGCATCAGCAGTTACTCGAGTTACTGCTGGAGTTTCGAGACATCTTTGTCCTGTCGGGAGATTCGCTTGGGCTGTGCACCTCATGCACTCATCGTATTAAGACTGGTGACGCAGCACCCATTAAACAGGC